TAGATGCCGAATAATCTTTCTAGAAAATATCATTTTAATATATTGTACGCCAATTTTTAAAAAAAGGTGCCTTGCTATATTTTTTTATTCAGGATGGAATTTTTTGTAGTAATGGAAAATGAAACTTCTCCTTAGACCTTAGAAGCTCTGTTTAAACCACAAAACATGTTGAGGTGTAAAGAAAAGTAAATTTAAGTTTTTTCTACCAACCGAAATTGAATATCCCTAATGCGTGCGCATTTAACGCAATTGCTGCAGCTCAAATGACGGCGAAATTTTCGTTTCCTAAATATGGTTACACACCACTTTCATGAACAATGCATCTAACTACCAGTTTATTAAGCGATCAAAAGTTTTTCCCTAAAATTGATACTAGTTTGTTTGTGTGCGCATAGTTTCCGTTCTTTTCCTGCTGGTTTATTAAGTATGCATTATGAAATATTTTCCATATTTTCCCAATTTGACATTGTCGAAATATTTCGCTATTGAAGTTATGCTCATAAATTTATTAGACTCCTTTTGTAAATTGCTCTTTTGTGGTCGGTTGACAAATAAAGCTTGTAAAACTTTTATCACTTCACCATTGTTAAACGCCCGCACACCCAAACTCACACACATATACGCGTCTGCTAGTCATATATAATGGTAGAGCTTTGTTAGCAGTGCATCAAAAGTGGCATGTGTGTGTGTGCGTTGTGAAAAGGTAGCAACCACATTTAATGCATTTTGAATTACTGTGAATTACTTCACGCTCCCACACGAGCGGTTAGGTCCTAAATGCAACTTAAGTGGTGTGTGCACAAAAGTTTGGTGCTTGTAATTTATGCTACATGCGTATGTGGGTGGGTGTGTTTGTTCATGTGTGATAGCTATATAGTGGTTGAAAAGTAGTTTCAAAAAAATTGCGCTGGCGATAAATGCTGTTAAGAGTGTGGATAAAAGTTGCAAGGTTTCAATAAAGAATTCCTTTGAACTTGAGCTTTATGAATTGTTGTTAGAATTTTTTTTATATTTCGTTAAAAATTTGTATAGCACTCGTTAACTTAAAAATAAAACAACCGAGAAAGAATTAGACCTTTAAGTAGTAAGAATCCTGAACCTATTTGTGTAGTTTATTATAAATATAACAATTCTGTCATATGTTCTAAACAATACTCAAAAACATCATCTCAAAATGCTTTTAAAAATCATTACGCTAAATTATTTATGATTTAAGTAAACTTCGACAATAATACTTTTCAATGTGAGAATACCGACCAAAATTATTCATTCACTCATTGTACCTCAATTCTCGCATAACTCGCATATTACTCACACGCCGTGTTGCGCATTTGTACAAATTGTTAAATGGTTTCAAAAATAACTATAAACCAAATGTATATAATTATAATAAATTATAAAAAAAAAGCATAAAAGGGTATACAAATAATTCCATCTTAATTGTGATAGCTCAGTTTGTATGGCAGCTATATGCAATAGCGGTCAGATCTAATCAATTTGTTCGGAGATTTTAGCGCTGAGTTAGATAATAATACATGGTAAGTTTCGTGAATATATCTCATCAAATTAAAAAGTTTACACAATGACTTGAGTTTGAGCGCTTAGTTTGTATGACAGCTATATACTAGAGTTGTACGATATCAGCAGCTCCGAGAAATGAGCAGACTCTTGAAGATAATAAATATTTAAATTTTCTGATTGATATCTAAAAACTTGAGGAAGTAGTTTACGTATATACAGACAGACATGGCTAAATCGACTCACCTCGTAACGCTGATCATTCATGCACATACTTTATAGGGTCTCCGATTATTCTTTTTGGGTGTAACAAACTTTGTGGCAAACTTGATATATTCTCTTGTTTGATTGTATTATGTATATATTTTTTTATTAAACAAAATTTATCTTGAAAGCAAGCATAACTTGTACACTATAAATAAAAAGCGTTGGAACTAGTAATTTAATGGAAAAAATAGAATTTGTAGCCACATGAAAATATATTTTATCAATTAAAATTCTTGTATCAGTGCAATAAAAAACCGTAACCATAGTTTTTTAAGGGCTAAATCAAAGTCTGTGCTTGTAATGGTGATTGTGGTTTCCAAAACATAAAAAATACAAAAAATTTAGTAGTAATAACGTAGTAGTATATCGCAAGCTGTCACTGTAATTTAACAAATCAAATATAATTTTGGACAAAAGCGACTAATTGTAGAGAGATTTGATAACCTAGAATTCCAAAAGTACCTTTTATTAATCTTTCATTAAATTATACATTTTAAAATCTGGTTTGTTTTTTGTTTTCTATTTTAAATCTAAATCAGTAAACCGTTTAATAATAAACTGTTTAGAGGTGCGCGCACTTAACTAATTCAACTATGCTACCTAAATATTATATTAAGTAAAATATTTTAACCGAATAAAAAATTGGATTCCACTTGTTGATAAAAAATGCACTACAAAAGTCTACACATATGTACATATCTATTTATATATATTGTATATATAGTATATATTTATGCACAAGCAGTTGTGTTCAAAAATAATATATAAATATGTATATATATAATACAAAAATTGTTGAAACAATAGATGCGTTGGCGCGTAAATAAGCTCAGCCGCAGTTTGGTGTTTTAATTGAATATTAAAACGCAAAGTGAAATTGTCGCACATTCCCAAAATAAAAAACCTGCGCTACTATAAGTGTAGTTAAATTTAAAGTAATCGTTCACAATAAAATTTATTTCCATGCACTCAATTGGTGGCACAGCGAACTCAATTAAAATCATTTCAGAGCGTGCGAAGCCATAAACTTGTAAAGAATTGCCACATTCACACCAACATACGCACGCACACACACACATGTATCTGCTGAATTTTTAAATGAGTTAATTTCAAACTTTTGTTGCGATTAAACGAATTGGCATAAAAATATTGTGCTTGCGTCGAACGCAGTTGCTCAGTGATTACTTTATTTCAGCTGCAGAAGTAGGTCACTCATACGCCCCTGCGCACCAATTGTGCTGGGTGCATCTGCCGCTATACAAGCTCTTTAATTTGATTTCTATATGTGAGAGCGTGTATGTGGAGAGAGTGTGCGTGACTTGTTTTGTAACGAAAGGTTTGTTCTTTAAATGCACATGACATCAAAAGAATTGTGTAACAGCTGTAATACACTTGTTTTATCCATCGGCAACTGGGATGAGGTTACGTATACGCCATGCTGTGCCACAAGTGGACTAAGAAACTTATTCAAAAATTCAGTTTAATAGTAAATGACTAGCAAATGCTGGAAAGAACTAGAAAACGCTTGTGGTGACTTCAAAATGGCCAAAGGGTATCCTGTCTCTATGATTCTTATATACTTATGCGCAGTGAAAATTGTCACATAAAATGGTAAATTTACTGAATTACTTTACTTTCTCTTTAATACAGGAGTGTTAGAAAAAGAAAAGTTAGAATTGAAATTTTAGGAATGCTTACCATTCGAGATAATTACTTTTTTTTTGTTGTTTATTTATGCTATTGGTGAAAATACTACAGAAGTTTAATTAACGAACTGAACACATGTAAAGTAAAGTACACATCCGAATCATTAACATTATCGACCCTCATTAAGTCTTAAGTTAAATTTAGAGTGAAAGGGCTAATGCCTTAAACTAGCTTGTGAATATTTTAAGAATTTGAAATAAAATATGGCGGGAAAATTTTAAATCTGCAATTTTGCTTTGATTGAAATCTCATAACATATTTATCATCTTATCAAAATTGACCCATACTGATCAATAAAATACATTTTCACGTATTAATACTTGTAAAAATCTTTATCAAAAACTCCTATAAGCTGGATCAAAAGACCCTTATATGTCGACAAACCGCTTTGTGCTTATAACAAACGTGTTAAGACGGCCAATATCCATTGTTGGAGATTTGCTTTGTATTTAAAAGGGGAGGGATAAGCATTAAGGATAGTATTAATGGTTTCTGACAGCTGAAGATTTTATTGAACATTTTATAAATCATCAGTAACAACTCTTCTCAAAAATATATTATATAATTTTTACTAAATCTTTTCAAGGGGTTAGAGTGGAAATGACGAGTGTCGACCGCAAACATTTTCTGTGCCAAATTCTACTTTAACTGTTATGATATTTATACCTATATTATCTTGGCTTTCTTTTTATCTAAAATTTTATTCTTTTTGAAATCAGACTTATTCTCTTTTAATTCTTTGAAATTAAGTTGTAAGGCAAGGGGTTGGTTAAACAAATAAAAATTTTAAGCAGATAGCAAATTTTCCAAAAAAAAAAAAAATATTTCAACGAAAGAGTTTCTAATCACTTCAATCTGACACCCATGTTACAATTATTCCATTATTTCATTATGTTTTTTAAATTATTATACACATGACAAACCATCTCCTAAAATTGATTTCAGTTAAAAGTTTTCTTAAGCCTTTTTAGTTAGATACCCATATTTGTCTTATCAATTTCTTCTTAGGTAAATCAGCACAGCCAGATACTGCGGGTGGAATGAGTAAAATACACTAGACAGTGTAAAAATCCAGTGCCAGCCCTTTTAAGCTGCAGTCAATAATACAATAATATAAAATCATATTATATTTTTATTGGATACCCTTTTCCCTTCCTTTTGGCTTAGTATTCTTAAAAATGCATAAACTTTCCTTTTAGTTGGAGCAAAGGTGAAGTTTGGCAATATCACTACGTCACCGAATAAGATTATGCCATATTTGTGAACATTTGTGCTTAATCCATACACACACACTTATACTTACACAGCTGAAATTTAACTCACTCAACTTGCTGTAATAACAAATAATCAACACATTTTATCGTCTCTTTTCATTGTTATTTGCTGTCATTTACCGCAATTGCTGCAAACTCAACAACTCGATTTGCACCTGCCACATGCAACCTGATTGCCACCACCCGTATGAAACTTTTCCAAATCTATGCACGCATGTGTATGTGTGCGCGCAGATATGGACCGCACTTTGAGGACGTGCAGCGCGTGGGACAGCCAACGAATATGACGGTGCAGGCGGGTAGCAGCATACATTTGAATTGCAGAATTTCGCTGCTGCAAGATAAGACTGTAAGTTGTTCAAGTAGAAATAAGTACGAATATAAGTTTCAGAAATATTTGCAAAAAAATATGTAAAATATTCCATAAAGTAAAAAATTCGCGGGAAGTTTTAAAATAACGTTTTTTTATGATACTCATAATACTTATACTCGATAGTGAATTTTCGTCTTATATTCGGGATCCCGTAATCCAGAAAATTTAAATGTTCCTCTTGTTGAGTGCAGAAACTAAAAAATGTATGAGTAGGTAGTTCATTCTTGTTGATATTGATAGATATTTCTATATATGTGAATATACGCTTTTCATTGAGATTAAATTGAATAACAATAAAAAATTTATTAGTCCCGAAATTTCGGGATTCCCCGAAATATTATGCAACGGAATATATAACTTTTTACCTAAGTTCCCCTACTCACAGCTGCTGTATGTCATTAGTCGTGCCATACCTGTAATATACAAAAAACACCAGCAAAAACAACAAAAAAATTGAGCGTTTGCCAAGCAGGTAGCACTCAAAGACTTCTCCTCGTTGCAAGCGCCACATAAATGAATGAAATTCGCTTTTCTCCCCTCCGCTCTTCTGTTAGCGAGCGAAATAATAGCAGGTCTCAAGTGGCAGGCAGTCACAGTGATGGAAGAACGAAAGCGGCAAAGTTTTTCTTGCCACAAATATTTCATTTTTTAATACCCTCTTAACAGTTTCCACACGCTTCAAGTCCCACCAGTCCTATGTTCTAACGGCATTAACTAGTTGGAAAATGATGCAATGGAAACAAAAACAACATGACAATGCACATATACCGTTGTCGCACAACGAAGCGATTTAAATTTGATTGGGGAAGTAACTATTTCAATTTGAGTGTTCTACAAGCGAAGATATCAACTTAATTCCAGTATTATGATTTTCTGATACACTAACTTCGCTCTATTTAAATTCTGTATGCAGTTGAAGTTTGCTATAACGGTTTTTACTCTTATTTTCTGAGAACGAATGTGGCACTCGCCGGTTTGTTATAAATTATCTGTTTTAAATTTGAGTTATAGCAGCAAATTGTGTTACTTTACAAGAATGGAAGAGAATTAGAAGACAAAGTGAAGCTCAAGCTTTGAAGTGCATTAATATTTTCTTTCTTCGTTTAGATGATAAAATATATATTCTTCAATTAGATCTGTTTAAGTGTTGTGTATGATAGTAAGAAAGACTATATATCTATTCATCTTAAAGTTTCTCGTCGCTCGTTTCTTTTGAAAAGTCCAATGACAAGAAACCCTATCGTCAAACATCAATTGTATATATTCCTACACTGATCGAGATGTTTCCGACTAGCAGTAACAGAGCACGTCTACTAACTTTGGGAAACTTCGTGACAATTTCTTATCAGAGAATTCCAAGCTCTGTTCGATAATTTATTGTAGAGTCCGACATTTATTTAAATGGTTTATTGAACCGATTAGAACATCTTTTCGTTATATTTGTATAATATCTGGCTTAAAATAGAGATTTAAAAAATGATCTTCTAAGCAGGAATATGTCTACTTTAAGGGGCACATCTAGCGTGAAATTAAAAAAAAAGACTTTTTCATATTTTGATAGGTTATACTTTTAAAAATAAAAATAATATCAATCAGCTCCATCAGTTAATCTTTAAACGCGTTTTTCTTAAAACTAGATTATTCAAATTTGCTTGAGTGATTACTCGTAGATCTTTTTTAAAACGTCACCACTTTATCAAGTTTTGAATATTTTTCGACCGTGTGTTACTGTACGGACAATATCTTCATTCACGGACAATGTGGAGCGCTGTCGTAGAGCGCCTGTAACTCAATAAATGTTTAATTTTCTTCTTTAAAAATTTGTTGGGTAATCTTAAAATGTGTAAAAAAAAAAAAAATATTAAACAAATTAAAAACAATTGATACAGTAGTAATGTGACCGTCTGAGCGCTTTCTGTAGGTAGGCAATATAAAACATTTTTCTTATAAGAGAAAAGCCTGTTCATACCTATACTCGTATGTATAGCGAAGCATGAACTCTAAGGACCTTGTGGCTTCTTAGAGTTCAGGAACAGCTTCTTCTATTTCAAAAAGGAAAATTATATTTGTATTTGCATAGTCGTAAGCATGAGATTCTTCAATTGTGTAATTTCGAGAAGAAAGCATCGCTTGAGTTTACCATTGTCCCTGGGTAAATAAGTCATCCCACAATCTTATGGCCGTCTGCAGCTCTTTGTGTTGCTGCTGCTCATATAATAAGTCATGTCTTGCAACTTCTTAATTATGCATGCGACAAAGCTCTTCATCAAATACAAGCACGAAGTAATAAAGAAAGTGCAAATGTATTAGTGAAGTGTAGTTGTAGTAATGAAATGCACTACTCACACATGGCTCTGAGACTTTTACTTAGCATGTCTTTACTGCAACAACACTTGACTTTTTTGCAATTTTTTCTAAGCTCTCAACATTTCTGTGGCTGTTAATCTAATTTTATGTCTTTTATGCTTTACTCACTTGCGTAGGTGTCCTGGGTGCGTCGCAATGCACAGGGCGAAAATGCACTCGACCTGCTGACGGTCGGTCTGCACACATACACGGGCGATAAGCGCTATAAAATGGAGTTTCAATATCCCAACAATTGGCGGCTGAAAATCATGAACGTGAAGAAGGACGACGAAGCGATGTACGAGTGTCAGATATCGACGCATCCACCGCGAGTGATACAAATTAATCTCTTCGTTAATGGTGAGTGCTTATATGTGCGTGTATGTGTGTATGTGTGGGAGATTATGCAACATTGCGACCCAACGCAATCATTAAATGATCATATAATCAGCCGATGATGTGGTTTTAAGTCTTGCATTGCGTTGTGATGAGTAAAACTCCTCAAAAAGCAAATTTCATTACGTGTTGCACATACAGTGGCGGGCATGCAAATGTGTAGGTTTGCCGAGTATAGATTTTTAACGACAAAAATTTTAACTAGGGTTAACAAAAAGAAAATGTCGAAGTAGGAGTAGCAAAAATTACAGGGTAGCCAAAATACAAATTTTATATTCATATAAATGCATGTAGTTGCTTCCTTTATTGATATTTAATGTATGTAATTCTTAAGAGGAAATTGAAAAATTTCTTAAAGTAGTGGGGTAGTAATACAACAACGTAAGCACACAGAAAACGCTAATTTTTTACTTTAAGAGTTTTGAGAATGATGAAAGTTTTTAACACCCAGCAGGAAATGTCGAAAATTCTACCATGTATGTAGTATGTATATGAATGATCAGCGCGACGAGCTGAGTCGATTTAAGCATATCCGTTCGTCCGTCTGTCCTTACATTTGTTCCTCCATCTTTATATACGCTATTTACTTCTTCATTTTTTGTGAAATAAATCTGAATCTTTGCACATGTTATTTCCTCCCTAAAAAGTTGCTCATTTTTCTAATATTTGTCATATCGGATCACTATAACACAGAGCTCAATACAAACTGATTGGCCAAAATCAGGTCCTTGTACGGACAACATTTTCATTTGACTAGATATCTTCACGAAATTTGCCAAAGATTATTGTCAGAATATATTATTCGGATCGGCCAAATTTAGCATTCAATTGCCATACAAACTGAGCGGTCAAAATCAAGGCCAAGATTTATTTTATACCCTTTTATGCGATAAGAAATGCAGCTGTTATAGCTTCGGGACAGCCGAACTTAAGGTTGTTTCTTGTTTTATGTGATATTTAGAAAAAACCTTATATCTTTCAGCATTCTCTTAACATACTAAATATAAAATATTTATAGCCATTAATTTTAATTAAAATAATGATTTAAATAGTGTTTCTACAATATACCAAATGCAGCTTAGAATAAAAACAGAAATCAAACAAAAGAAAACTTTTTTAAAATATTATATTAAAGCGTAATTATAGACAGAATCGCTTTCCGAGAAAACTAATATGTCAACAAAATTTCAAAATTTAGGGTTACCATGAATTTTTGAATTATTTATATATATTTATTTTGCTACTGAAATGAATTATTAAAAAAAACTATTTTAAGTAGTCATGTTTTGATGTCCGCCACTGTAAACACTTTAATTATTTACAAGTGTGGATGTATGTACATATGTTTGAGTTACGATGTGGCAATGTAATCAGTGTGAAGTGTTGAGAGGTGCATGAGTGCATGACATTACAACACAGCATGTCATTAAAACGCTTGGCTTGAGTTCTTTTCATTTCGTCCTGTTGTTGTTGTACGACTGCTACAACTGTTGTTGGGCATGTTGTAAGTGTTTGAGGTGAACTCAAACAAATAAATGGCAACACGCTGATAAATATACGATTTAATGGCATGCGGTTATAAATCACACAGGCTATATATACAGTTATAGTAACATAAATACATACAAACACTTAAGTGAATTCCATTTTTACACGCATATACCCATCACAATGCACACGCACACACATCTACAAGCTTGATAAGTGAATTTAAATCTCACAAATGGTGAAATGAAAATGCTCTGTAGGGTATACAATTTATTTACACGTACTTAGATGTACACCTGTAGATGTGTGTGAGAGTGTATATATGTATTATTGTAAACATTGTTTTTGTTGTCTCTTTAACTATTGCGCTTTACCGTTTCTTCCGCATCCGCCAATCCCTTAGCACCGAAAGTGATGATTGTTGATGAGTTCGGTGATCCGCTACAGGAAAAATATTACGAAATCGATTCAACATTGCAGCTGTCATGTGTGGTCCGCAATGTCGCCATGGCCACATCGGTCGTGTACTGGAAGCACGGCGTCGACGTGCTCAACTATGATGTGACGCGCGGCGGCATCAGGTATGTATTCACATGCAACACACACATAAATACCCAAACATACAATCAAACACTAACACAAACATTCAAACAGCCAATACATGCACACTAACGGTTAAACATTTGTAGTTGTCAGCGTTGTGCATATCCTGCATATACTCTGCGCCACCCGCGCGCTGTCAGTCTGTCTGTCACACGGCCTGGTGTTTCTCTGCCATGTGCAGTGTTGCATTTTTGCGCACATTCCTCATGGGGCGAGCATTGGCGGCGCAACAACATTTTATTATTAAAATTAAAATTTACAAAGCTCGTCTTAATGAGATGAGTTGTATGTGCGCGCCAGTGGAGGGCTGCTGGGGGAAAACTGCCAGCGCACACAACCATTTTTTTTCGTTTTTTCTTGTGTAGCACTTTGTTCTAGCTTTTTGCTGCATTTCAGTTGAAACCGTCATTGTACTTGTAAATGTGTGTGTAGACGCATATATGCATATGTGCATGTATGAGAAATATCAAAGTAAATGTATGTGTGAAAGGCAGAATGCATTATTGCTGCGAGCTCTCCTATTTGCATATAAGCACACTCACACACACAAAAGCAAATGTCGTCGTCGTTGCAATTTAATTTTCTCTTAAGTAGAAAGCGAGAATGAAAAGTAAATCAGCTATAAACCGCTTTATGTTAGCAGACAGCAACAAATTAACACTGTGAAATAAGTTATTAAGCAAGAACAAAAGATCGTTACGCAATTTGTCTTTTTATGAAAAGTTGCAACAGTTGCATGCAAGGCACTGCTGGGTATTGTGGCAGTCTCATATGAACCGAGATTAAGTTTGCGTTGTCATTTGCTTTGCTCAGTGCACTAAAATAAAATCATTAATATATAATATGTGGGTGGATCAAACAGTTTTCGTCTTAAGAAGTTATATCCCTTTGCAGGTCAGAAAAAACGCCTTTTTTGTGAACTTTTTTGAAGAGGCGTTTTGCGTAGTAAATAAATAAAAGTAATGTACCTTAATAATCGGCAATGCATTTTAAAAAATCTCCAGTTCCCTTAATCCCCTAGCTGATCCAAAAAGATCTGCGAAAAAAGTGTTTGGTGGTGACGAAAATTTGTCTGCTTAAAATTATCTCAAATCCAAAAATCGAACACATTTATTATTAGTATGGATGAATACAGGTATTGATTGAAACACTAGGCAATCGCGGTTTCCCAAAAAAAGTCGTTTTCGTGAAAAATTTTTTCCTTCAAAGTAACTTAAAATTATTATCAAAAATCTTATTCTTTGTTCATTACCTAACAAATATATCTTAAAAGGTCGTGTGAAATGTTCGAAATTAAATCTTATAATAAATACCCTGTATTTTCTAACTATTGACTCCTAATGAGTTTCGTTAGCAAAATTTATATTTGCAATATCTTTTTGATGTTTGCTTCGAACACATTTTTGTTTGAGTTTGTCAGCAATTCGCCTTATATCCAATTATCGAAAAAATTAAAATATACCATTATAAATCTATCCAGAACCGATAATTAATACTTTTATTATAAAGCAGATTCTACTGTCTTAAGAGCTTTTTTTATTATAATAATACCTTTTGCAATCTTGGGACAATTTTTTTTAATTAACCAGACAAAAATCTTAGCACATCTTTTTTAATAATAAAATATAAAATACACGTACAATAGTCGTAGCTTAAACTGTTTGCTTGCTGGATAAGCTCGAGTTTATGGTACGTAAACTCGGAGTTTATAAAAAATGAAATGTTAAATTAAACTCTGAATATATTAAAAACTGAAGAATACTTAAGAATTAATACTACCCTTAAGCTCATGTTTACACCACAACAAGAGCAAGGATCAAAAATAAGTTCAACATATTACGAAGCAATATTTAAACTTCTATAGCATTTATAAGCTAATATGAATTTATATTTCAATCAAATTTTAGAATAGAGTTTACCGTCTGTAAGTAGTTGTAACAACATATCTTCTTTTCTTAGGATAATAATTTGTTACCCCGAGCGTAATAAAAATGATTATCTTTGGTCCAGCAACTATTTGCTAAATGATATAATATATAACTCGACCCACTTCTCACATATATTTAAATCCTCTTCGAAATGGTATAGGAAACTTGTAAAATGTACTGGTCATTATAATGTATGGAATTAAACGCCCTCGAAATAAAAACCAAAAAAGCGAACCTTTTATATGCGAGACTGGCAAGGACTCTCCAAGCAATTTCTCTTTAGACATGTTATGAATATAATATGATGCATTCAATTTTATGGCATGCATAAAAAATATCCTTTGAACTCACTACAAATCCTGCCAAATTTATGTACTTAAAATGCACAAAAACAAAATAAATGAAATTACACAACGTAAATAGCCTGCTCACAATTTCTAGCCATTTTACTTTGGAAATATTTCATACCCCGAATCATTCAACTTCTTTATAAGTGGAGAAAAAGCAGCAAAAATATATGCTAAACTCTCAAGCTAACTCGCTAATAAAAACTTTAAACAAGATAAGTGCGTCAATTACGAAGAAAAACGTGAATTCACTTTTTACGAGCGTCCAAGCACAAAAACACTATTCATGCAAGTGCTTCTAAGGGCGCCTACTTCTCTGCAACTGAACGGCCTGTAGGAAATTTAAGCTATTATCGGAAATTTTATACTTGTGTCTACTCTGCGCTAATAATATCTATAAGCTCACAACCTAAGAGGAATATTTTCTGACTTCAAATTGTTAATGGGGCATGAAGTACCTTGAGATGCGGTACAACGTACAAGAGTCCAGACCTTTTAGTTGTATGCGTAGAATCGATTTCTATTTCTAGCAGAGTAGTATTGTTGAAGACAAGTTTTATCACAAGCTATAATTGAGCGTATAAATATGTTATCTATTGCAAAGACCCGGAAAGCCTCCATTTCAGTGGACTTTTGCTTGTTTTAAAAATCATGCTTGCACTTATACCATAAATGATCGAATCAATCACGCTAAAAATCCATTTTCCACTCAGTGCCTCAGACCCATACTTCTTCGGTTTGGTCTGAACGTCAAGGTTTCTAAAATCTGCATATATTTATAGTTATTACAGAGAGATAATTTTAAATTTAAACATTTAAACGTTTTAAAGATATTAAATCAGCAAAGTGTTGGATTAATAATCTGGCCCTTAAATATTGAGGTCTTTCAATATCGAATTTCTTTCATCAGTACGAAGTGCAAACGGTTTTCTTGGGTGCTACCAGATCTTCGATTTCTATAGCTTCAACGTGTAGCAAAGATCGAAATATACAGGTTAATTCCTGGTTTCACCATCGAAAAATTAGAAGACCTGGTGTTCCGCAATAGAAGCGGTAATCTAAATGTAAATGAGTCAGGTCTAATAGGCAATTTGTGTTCCAAATCATTCGGTCATTACCGGACTTATGGTTTAAGAATCAATTTTTTACTTCAGAAATTGGGATGACTAGATATTAAATTATATTTTTCTCGCAGGGTCTGCAATGCCACACATAACATAAATCTACATACTTGCAGCAACAAATGCATTCGCCTACGAAAAGTGCTACTAACAAGCGCAACCACACCCTCACTACCCCGCCATGTGCAGAGATTTTCATTAACTTTTTTCTCACTTTTACTGTTACTCTTTTGCTGTTGCTCACACTCATGAGCGCATTAAAATGCTCATTAAAATTTAAGTGGCTCAGCATTGGATAAACGTGAGTGCGAACAAGGATTATGTATGAGTCTTACAAAGGCGCAATGTAAAGAGGGGAAATAATTTACGAAAAATATTCCGAAATATGTTAAATATGCCCCTCTTTAGAACTAATTTCACGCAGATGTTTGCATATTAACTTAGTTTGGAATAAACTAAGGACGCATTCGAGCACGCTCTCACCCCCTCACTTACACACTCATTCTTACATACAGCTATTTACTAACGTGTTCTTGTTTTCTTTTTTTCCCCGCTCTTGCCGCCAATTTTCAGCGTCAAGACGGAGCTGATGGACGACGGCGCCAATTCCACACTATCCATAGCGAAAATCAACAAGTCCGACTCCGGCAACTATACGTGCGCAATTAGTGATTTCCAAAACTTCAGCATAGTCGTACACATATTGAATGGTAAGTAGCCTGTAACCAAACATGTTCTCTAAATAAGTGGCAACATTGTGCATACAAGTACATTTCTATGCAACCATGGAAGGCAACGAAAAACACCAGCTAATTTCAGGTGAAGCACACTCACACACGTCCATTTGCATGCTCCCAATTATGTGTATCTGTGAGTGTGTGTTCCGTCAAAGGAGCTCAGCCAGGATGTGCCACCTGTTTGTGTTTTTCCTGCTTTCCTGCCTTTTGTGGGCACTCAACGTGGTACAGGAAGACACACACTTGCCACCTCTAAGCCGCACCGGCTATTATACAACTACTCTTTCACTTTCTATACACTACACGTTTGTGAACTCACTGCATCGCTCATAACCCACTTACTCTTTGCTTTTGCTTTCGCTGGAGTTTTTTAATTTTTTTTTTGTTTTTTGTGTTTTCCCCCTTTTCTTTGTTTGATTGTGTGAAATCAGTTGTGCAAATTCAGTTAACGTCACAAGCATTTAACAAACTAATTAAATGGGGAAATGCACACGTTGCTCATTAAGCGAGCACATCCTTTCGGGGCGCACTCTCCGCCCTCTTGGCGTTACTGCGCCGCTACTTCGCTTATCTGCTTCAATGCTCCTGTCAATATTGTGCTCACGTTCATCAGCGTTTTATGGCTGCTGCTCATACATACCCAAACACATAGATTTGTGTGTATGTAATGTGGCTACTGTTACTGACTTTTATTGTGATTATAAGCGATTATAGTGACGATTATGATTTCTTTAATTGCACGAACAAGTGGATTGCTGTTTGGAAGAATATTATTGATATTAATTTTTATATAGATAACCCTGCCCCTGAAAAGTTCATAGTGCATGAAAAGTGAATAAAATTAGCTTTTTTTGTGAAAAGTTTTTATTAAATCTAATGAACTGTTTTGCCATCTTACTTTATCATTATTTTATATTTACCATATCTTCCTGAATTTCGATATAAATCGTAAACCGTTCCTTTTCCCGAACTCAAATCGCAGCTAAATTATTTCTTTAATGTTTGTTATTCTATCTTTCGTTTCCGATGCGTTTCATGCTACTATGATTTTTTTCTTTTCAAAAATTATCTACCCTGTTCTAAAAATACAATTTTTTTCCAGTTTTTATTTAAATTTACTGCATCTTTCAAAAAAAATTTTTTGTGTCCAGCGTTCCTTTTAGGGTTCACATAATTCTAGATATTTTAGTGTACAGAACCAAATTTCAGTTTAGCGACGATTACTTATTCGATAACCCCATAGTTCCATATACTACAATAACAAAATTGCGCCCAACTCTTCAGACTCTTTTTAACGTCCATCATACGGGCGGTCGAAAAGGGGGTGCGAATTTTAGGCTTTAATAAAATTTAGTCCTCTTATTTATTTCCTCTTTCTTCATTACTATTGCGAGTCCACTTTTTTGAAGTATTGGTAGAGCTTCTATTTTTCACTTCTATCATTAATTTATGACTGCAAAATTTTCTACGATCTAAATCCATTTTTATAGAAAAAGATATTGAAACCTATCACAAAGTAAATTAAGACTTTGATTTTCTTATCAATTCTAAAACGAACAGAAGTTCATTTGGTGCCTAGAGAGAAAGAGATACTGTGATAAAATATATACATAAATGATCAGCATGATGAGGAGAGTTGATTTAGCCATGTCCGTCTGTCTGTCTGTATATATACAAACTAGCCCCTCAGATTTTTAGCTATCGATCTCGGTACTTTGATAGTAAATTTTAGATTTATTTTGATAATAATTCAGTTGGGTGTAAAATAAGACGAAATGGTCCCTTTTTGCTATTATATTTCTTCATTTGATTATATCAGTTTATCCAATTTATGCTAATTGTCTGTTCGATACACCGCTCTCCAAGGTCTGTCAAATCCAAAACAGTTGACCACGCATTGTTTATGTTCGAATTCCCTTTGAAAGTACAATATATTTTAATCTTACGTATTATAAATTTATCCAGTTTTTCATTTTCTTTTCTTTGCTCTACTTTAAGTAAAAATAAAGTGATACAACCGCCAATTCCACTTATTATTTCATACTTCAAGCTATCATCACCCAATCATTCATTCCAAAGTATTGCGTAGCGAAATCCACAAATTCTTACTCAACTTGTATTATCCAACTATCATCTACCAAGTCAGATACTTGCCCATAGATATACTTATACTTCGTTAATTATGTATTTTCATAACTTATTTATAAAAAAGCTATTTGCTTTCTTTTTGTTCTTCTTGTTCTGCATCTTCTCACTGTTCTGCATTATCGCATGCTGTTCATGCAACAACCGATTGCGTTGCTGTTGCACCCGCTGTTGTGACGACGATTTAATGCTCATCCGGCACTTCCGGCGCCGCACACACTTCGTGATACTCCGTTACCTCCGCGCTAACATTCGACTGTGTCTAGGTGAAAGTTTCGCCGAACTGCATCACGGCGCCGCAGCACCCACGGTTCCTAGCGCATTCCACCAGCAGCTGGTCGTGCATTGCGCGTTGCTCAGCTTGTTATTGCTGCTCTTGCTGCTGCACGCCCCACACCAGCCATACACACTCGTGCACAGGTAAAAGTTACTCAATTAGCCAAACGGGGTAGTGCAAACGAAGTCCTAACCAACAAGGCAAGTATGCATTGGCGGAAGCGTCAACTGCCTGGCAGGCGGCGGGGGCTGGCGAGCCAACACGAGCAGTGTTATAGTTGAATTTTTATAATTTCACTAATTAAGTAACTTAAGTAAATTAATGTGACATTTAATTGAAGCAATTAGTTAACGAAGCGATAATTAAGACAACTTACATACATATATACATAAATACTTATAGTCATGTTGTATAAGATAGTGGACAAAAAATTGAATTTATACAGAAAATATGAAAAAACATGTAAAAGTTAATTTATATTCATGATCAGTTGTGTGTTTGTGTATGCATCGGGGAGTGGGTGAAACCACAAAGTTCATTTATTATAAATTTGAATCACAATTTTTATAAAAACCAGTAGGCACACATACAAGTATGTATGGTATGTATGCAGATATATGTGCTTGAATATGCAAAGCATAAAATAATAGAAAAAATAACAACAAAAAAGCAAATCAATGACGAGAATTTGCTTTAAAACTCGAATTAAAATCAAAAATCGACTAAATGTTACGCCAAATCCCTGCAGAATCCAAACAATTTAAGTTGTTGCACAAACAGTTCGCCACCGAGCGCTGTCGAGCAGCCAGCCGGGTGAAATATTTTGACAATTTATGCACCCGAAGGGGATTAATGCAAATAATCGTTGCATTATTCAAGTGAAAAAGTCAAATATATGCACTGAATATTCCAACTGGATGGCAGCACTGGAAAAATATCAAAACGAACCAAATAAATAGCAACAAACCAACATGCAACTAATTGCAGCGCGAAAAACTGTAAATAACGGTAAATACGCGCATATGCAGCGCATGTGAAATGCAAAATAATAGAGTAAACAGCAAATTGGTGATGTTATTGTGTGCAAAATGCGAATTTGAATGTGTTATATTAAGTAAATAAAATTTATAATTGTTAAACAATTGTTTTGAGGTTATTTTTTTTATTGGTATTGCAAAAAAAAACTGCATGCACATAATTTCCAGCGAATAACAGTTAAATAAATACCGCAAAAGGCAAGCAAATATTAATTATTGCATTATTTCTAAAGCTTAAAACTGAATTTGTTGCAAACGAAAATATTCATATTAGAACCACAGGGTTGAGGTAAAATCAATGCCTAGAAACAACTTGTTATCAGTATGGTACATTTCTACTTATTATATTTCCACTTTCGTTATAGGAACTCTGTTGGCTTCTCAAAAAGCTTGCTAGCTTTCTCAACAAGAAGGTAGCGAGCGGAGAAGAGAAAGAAAAAATTTTTGTCAGAGCGGTGATGTTCAAGGGTAAAAACTTTCGTTTTGTTTGGAAGTGCGTATATAAAATTCTTGAGTTCTAAATCTTAAAAAGCTGTCTGTACAAACTACTTAGAACATCATCATCTTACCAATTTACGAACAGAGAGAGAAGTATTCCATTAAACAAAAAGTATTTTCTGTAAGCTTTAGGTGTGGTAAATTAAAAAAAAAAATCAACTTATTTTTGGAAAGCCGCCATTTTGTCAAAAATCAAAATTTTGACTAGTTCTTCGATCATTACCTACATTTATCTATAATAACAATAAAATGTTTGCAATTGAGATAATTTTAATCAGAAGAATCTTCCATACCACCAGTCACCTTTTTTTTGCAGGTTGTCCTGAAGATCGGCTGTATAATCAAGGGAACCCAAAGATTTTGAAAATGAATTGCTGATTATTACAGTAAAATAAATCTTATAAATGTACATTATTTTTATTTATTTATAAATAAAATGCCTCTTCAATTTTTTCTGACTTGCAAGTGGATAACCCCTTAAGCACTTTATAGAAGAAACGAGCTTTCGGTGTTTTCTGGTACTAATTTTAAGACGATACATTATATTGCTGATGATTATTTTACCTCTTATTCTTCCTTGCAAGACAACCTGGGGTGATCCATTGCCATTTCTTTTTTGAAGAATTCTTATTGTCGCTTAGAGAAATTTATAGGTTTGAATAATGAGATGGATAAAGTAGACACTGCGCCAGTATTAAGCTTTCATTTATAGATATTTCAATAAATCTTGATTCGTGTTAAATATTTGCAGAACTCTTGCAGTCTTTAAGTAATTCTTAAATTTTTTAATTGAGCCATCTGTTCGAATAAAAATCGGCTCACAACCTTTGCACTCCAATAAAATACCACAATTCATAAAAAAGAATGCAAAATCCGGGCAGGTAAATTATTATTGTTAAATTCAGTGAGTAAATGTTATTGCGGTAAATGTGTGCACACATACAAATACAAATCAATTCCATGCAACTGTAGGTAAATTGTAGTTTAAAAACGATTGAGCAGTAAAATATTGCCAATGAAACAAAAATTACAGTTATAACTGTAAGGGAAACTTATGTATACTGAGTAAAGAATATATTTTTTATTTATCGATAGGGAAGTTAACACAGACATAGTTAAATATACAAGCATTTATGAACATATGAAACATTACATCCACACATACACAAAAAAAAACCGAACTTGCATTTGTATATAACCAACATTGCATGTTGATAAAATTTATAAGAACTCTAGTTATAAAAAGTACGAAATAAAATTTCTCCTCTATAATAAAATACAATATTTAAGCTGAAAATAGTTAAGGCGTAGTGTAAGAGAGAATGGATGATGCGTTTACAAAACAATAATAAAAGTCGACTTCAAATTAAAGAGATAGCGCAAGGCATCTTAATATAGTGATAAGAAGAACGTTATAGTGGGTTCGAGCTAAGACACAAAATAAAATAAAATTAAATAAAAACAGCAAAAACCAAAAAATTTCTGTAAAACAAAAATAATAAAAAATGTCAAAAAGATCAAAAAGCAAAATCCATAAATCTGTAAGTGTCTGTAGATATAAACCAAATGATTTGGCAAAATTAATATTTTGTTAAACTAACACAGAAGCAACATCTGCGCATATATACAAACTTAAAAGGTAAATATAATATGAACTGAGGGCATATTTTTTTGACACTTGATGTGACAACGAATTTATGAAAATTTTTATGTAAATATATTCAGCCATTTTTGTTTTTATAATTTTACGCAAAGCTGCCACACTTTTAAATTTAAAATATTGAAAATTAAATTCAAACTAAAATGATGCATATGATTTTGCAAATAAGCAGAATTTGTCTTGCTCTCTCTCTCTCTAGTTCCCTCTCACACTCTAAAAATAACGATAAACCGGCAATGAATTTCAACATTTGAAAGCCGTAACGAAAATAATTTACATTAGTGTATGTGAAATACATAAAATATATAGTTATAAAAATAATGAAATGCATATGTAAACAAAGAAATGGAAAACAAAAGAATTGAATTGAAATAAATCAAAAATAGAGTATAAATTATAAAATAGTAGTTTTACTCATTGTCAAATTCTACGGACTTATCGTTTTTGTTTCTTAAATCATCGCTTTCGAAATCCCAGTTCTGGAACAAAATTGTTTATTATAAATAACAAATGCGTGTATTTTGGTAAAGTTCGCGCTTTTACTCCCTAATATTATTCGGTTACTTTTTAATGGATCCAACTGATATTCTTGCAGTAAATCATCAACAGATTAATAACAGGGCTTTAATTTAATCATCAAAATAATTTCAAAAATTTACTGAACCTCATCGAAATTTCGCAGGTTTTAGCTCAGAGCTTAAATCTCAACTTTAAGATATTATAATCATTCAGCTATAGTATGGATACTTTTCTAAATGATTTGATTTTTATTGAAAGTTTTCTATATACCATATTTTAATTTGCGCGTGCCATACGAAGAATGTTTGAACTTCGTATAATTACATCGAAAAACGTGTGAAACTTGTCAAATAATATACCTATAATAAGGGTCTTCTTCACCAAGTAATAATTGAGTAAAAAGTAACCTTCCTATGATCAGATTGCTACGAAAAGTTCACTTTACTTTGCTTAAAGGGTTACAATATATTATCCACTTACAGGTCCGAAATAACCGCGGTTTTTCTGAATTTTTTTGAAAGAGTCAATTTATTTTATACATAAATAAAAAAAAGTACATATACCGAGTTTAATGTATCAGAAAACAAGAAATAACGTTAGCTTAGTTTGCACCGAAGCTATAATACCCTTCACAAACACAAAAAACTCCTCACTTGATTCCGATCGTTCAGTTTGTATGGCAGCTATATGCTACAGTGGTACGATATCGGCGGTTCCCACAAATAAGCAGCTTCTTGGGGGTAAAAAAACGTGTGCAAAATTTCAGATCAAAACTGATTCAAAAACAGAGGAACTAGTTCGCGTATATGCAGACAGACGGACATGGCTAAATCGACTCAGCTCATATATATTTAATATGATCCGCGATGTGTTTTTCTGGATGTGACAAACATCGTGGCAAACTTAATATAACCCGTTCAGGGTATAAAAATATTATTAGATGAGTACACGTAAGGATTGAAGAACTAGTCAAAATTTTGACTTATGACAAAATAACGGTTTTCCAAAAACAAAGTCATGTTATCTAGATAAACTTACACTTCTGATTGGCTTAAAAAATGGAAAGTATTACAAAATGTACTATTTCTTTAATTATTATCTGACAAATATATCTAAAAAGGGAGTGTGAAAATATCAAGTCGTAGAAAAAGGTCACTTGCTGTGAGCTATTTATCCACTACTTGGCAAAAGTATAGCCGAAGGCTTATTTCAAGATTCTAAAGAAATATATATATTCATAAGTATATCAGAGAATTAGATGATCTATTTAAAAGCTATACTTATATCGCTCAGAAGGCACATTACGGTGTAAGACATACCATGTTTACGTTATATCAATAAAAGTTAACCATGTTATTTATTAACTGTTACCCTTGACTAAGTGTAAAAAGATATTTAATTTTAAATTATTCATTTAACGAATGTTTTAGTTTAGTTTTTAAAAGCAAATTTGAAATTAGCAATTTACTCCACTATGTCGCTCGTGAAAAATAAAATTGATATGTCCGCCGAAGAATATTCACCAACCTTATTTCCTGCACAAGAACTTCAAACTCTTATTTAAAGTTAAGCTCTGCCAACCAAGCTATACCGATTAAACTTCTTGATAACCACAGGGAGCAGCTAGCGCTAGTCTGTGCAGAATGCTTTTGCTCACCGATTAAATTCAAAAAAGTATTTTAAGTTCAATTAGTAAGACCAATAACAGTTCATTTGCTAATCTTATTTAAAGAATTTTAAATATTTTGTAAATCCAAATCGATTTCGTAATTACACTTTGTGATTACGAATTTAACAAATTAAAACGCAAACTATTGCAAATTACCTAATTACGTCGGCATTTCGTTTAACTCACAGTGAAGCGACTAATATTTTGTGTGCTCAGTTTGCCATAGCAATTCGCCATGGTAATGCCATTGTGTGAAGCAGAAATTTTCAATCAACCTCATTCAATTATTTTATATGGTATTTTAAAATATTTGCGTAATTGTAGAGTAATTAAATTTTTATTAGTTTATCCATTGGAATAAGCCTATTTGACCAATTAGTGAAAGTAGCGTGTTGTGTAGTCTACATACACAACAACAAATTAGCAGAGACAATTTGCTATTCCACACATACACACAAAAACACAAAAATAGTTAATAATTATCATGGTTGGATTAAAATTCTTCTCTCATAGCATATGATTTACTCGCTTCACAAAGAGAAAGGAGAAATTCAATTATTCATGAAATACTATAAATGTGAGAAAACGTATGCTTTTGAGAGTTAGTGACATTTCTCAGTCTTTCTATATAACATCTAACCTAATTTCCTAAATTATACGGACAAGTTATAAACCGATTACTCACATTTCCTCTCTCGAAATCAACAAGACCAAATAGAAGAACATTCAAAGATAAAGTTTGTTCTGTGCCAACAGAGTATAGTACATCATACTTGTATTGGTATAAAAAGAATCAATGCTTCGTACTAGGAATATTAACAAGACCATTAAAAGCCCTACTCTCTAACATTCACACAAGGTATTTGGTTATTATCAGCCATTTATGCTTTTGTGCACATCACTGACATCGCCGAGACCAGCAATTTCCGATTAATCCTCACCGAACCACATTAACGGTATCGAATGGCTTCTCCAAATGAGTCATCACTTTAATATCCGCAGACCTTATTCATTTGATGACAATAATTTCTCCTTGAACTGCACATTAGGTGCGTTGCTCGCTGTAAATGCCATGTATTTCGGTATACGAAATTCGATAATGAACTCCGTACATAAACTACAGGCGAATTAATTTCATTCGAGAGCCGAGCAAATGCTTTGCCGAATGTTTAGTAATGATGTGTTCATGTGCCAGTAACGTGTCAATAGTGCTAACTAAATTGGTGGATGAGTGAGTGCGTGGGTGGGTGGGTATGAATGACGTGTAGGAAAGTGTTGGGTGAAATATGTATAGTAGGTACCAGTTTGCTCTTAATTTACGGTAAATTAGAAAAAACTTTAACTTCGGCAACAGCGAAGCTATAATACCCTTATAGCACAGAAGGGTATAAAAACATCTTAATCTTGATTTTGTTCGGACAGTTCGAATGACAGTGTAGTGGTCAGATATAGGCATTTGTGACAAATAAGCAGCTATTTAGGGAGAAAAGAAACAAAAAAGGTGTGAAAAATTTCAGATCGAAATCGCAAAAACTGAGAGTACAGACAAATTTGCATGCTAAATCTATTCAGCTCGTCATCATAAATCTGATAATTTAGGGTCTCTAACGTTTCCTTCTAGGCCTTGTGGCAAACTTAATATGCCCTATTCAGAGTATAAAAAGTTCTTGAATCGCTGCGGGAGGGAGGACCCGCCAGACTTTTAGGTTTATTTCAAAATGCCATGTAAGCTTTATTATATTAGAAATATTATATCAAAAGTATGCTTCCAGGACAAATAAAATACTTCAAAATCTGCTTCATTTTCAAAAATTGGAAGAATACGATGGTACTGGATCAGATCATAAATTTGAATGACCGTAAATAATTTGATCCTTTGTACAACTCTAATTCAAATGCCTGTGACTGTTTTCTTCGAAACTGTGTCTAATCCTATTAGGTGAATTTTTTCTTGTCAGTATTATTTCTACGCATACGAGGTTCATATTGTATCTGCAAGATTTACCGAATATTGAAACAAAGGTTATAGATTATAAGAGCACTGGGAAGTCACAAGAAAAATTACCCCTTTTCGAGTCACCAGCTGAGTTGAGTACGTTAATAAGATATCTCAGATTATTTATATAGGGTCAAAATATAAATATCAGATCAGGTTCTTGTTCATTCACCAGCGGCTAACCCATCCTCTATTTATTCATTTGAGCTACAATTTATGTTGATCAGAGCCGGATCTAGGCTGCAATAATTTCACATATCTGCATTCATCCTCAGCAGGGCTAACTTTGGCAGCAATCAGTATAACTTTACATAACCTACTAAAATACCGAAGAGCCTTTTGATCACATTTCACTCACACCATTCCTACAGTGTTTGCATTAGCAACAAAGCCACGCGCGCACTTAACCGCATTAGAATTCGACAAACGACCGACGACCAAACGCGCTTAATCCATCGGAACGACCGCACACATAGTTACTCCACACACACACACGAGCAGAATACACAAATTCGAACCCACAATTTGCAGCGATGCTTTGTGATCCCCAACGGAATGTTACGAATTGATGAGCAGCACTTAATGCACGCTGGTGAGCACACAGCTAACAACAAAACCAACAAAGCCAGCAGAGCTACCGCAGACATTTACCACAAAAGCGCCGCAAAGGGTCAGACAGTGTACAAGGAGAGAGGGGGTGGAAGTGTGGGTACGTGTGGAGTGGGAAGATATTTCAGGAGCAATGGAAATGGCAGGAGAGCGAAAGAAAAATGGGAATAAAACAAAAACGGAAAGCCTGGAGTAAAACATATTTGCTCTTGTGAATGTATCTGTGTGCTCCGTTACGAATGGGACAGTTGGCTAAAAAGCGAGATATGGAAAACCAGAAACAAAAGCAATCGAACCGCACAATCATGGTCAGCCGCGGAGTAATAAATCAGCAATGGAAAATATAATGAAAATCAATAAAACTAGCGATTGCAATCGTCAAAGCAACAATGCTTACATAAATGTTAGTGGGTATGTGTAATTGTGTGTGTGTTTATTTGGACATGCACTTGTTCGGTCGCACGCTTCTGCGATAATTGTTCGACGATTGGTGAGCAAAAACAAATACAGAATGTCAATGGTGGTGTGGAAATTAAATTAAAATCAAACAAATGGAGCAAATGCAACAACAAAACCCACAAAATCCGCATTTAAATGCTGGTCCATACCACGATCATTCAAAATACATACACACATATGTATAATCAAATTTATTTGGTTAATTAACAACAATTTGGTACATATTCAAAGGCAAAATTTAACCATACAAATATTGTGTGCGTGTGTGTGAGGCGGTATTTAAATTCATTAAATAATATTATTTTGCCATTTTTTCGGCTGTTGCGCATAATAACCACAAGTATTCACTTAAAAAATAGAAAAGCGCGCAAAAACGCGTTGCTGAAAGCTTCACACACACACCCACATATGTGCATACGCGCACGTGCATTTTTGCATGCCCACGCAATTTTTTTTTAATGGAAACCGTTATGGGTGTGTATAGTATTACATTTACATTGAACGAAAAAACGTATGTACTTACATCGATTTAATAGAAGTCATAAATAAGATTACATAATAATACGTTTGCTTACATATGTATGTACATAATGGATGCATAAATACGCACATAACTACAAACACCACCACACTTTATTTATATCTTATATTATTTGTGAAAAAATCTCCATTGCAAATACGCAAATGTCCGCACGATCTTACTAATATATACTTAACAATCTACTATATATTTATACATATGTCTGTATGTATGTGTATGAAAATGTGCCATAAACGACACGTAAGTAAGGTCACTTTGTAGAGTTGAAAGAAATGTGTGGAAAATAAAGAAAATTGCTAAAAATCGAGCATCGCAAGACACGAAAGCACGCCTGGTGGCCAAGTCCATATAAAAGTATGTACAAATGTATGTATGTATAACAACTAATATCTAAATATAACTATGCATTGTAATGCCGCTTAAGCGTCGCCACAAATTCCCAACGTTTAATGATAAGTGGTTCCACAGCGTTGCCATTGCCGCGGGCGAGGCCAGGAAGATACGACAACAGCGTGTGACAATAAACGGTGCTGCACAGTGTCTTAGAATCGCAAAATACTTGTTAAATAAGAAGCGAATACGTCATAGCAGGTGCCAGAGCGTATGAGTTTGAGATCATCTCCGAGTTGATAAATTCTAATTGAGAATTTTTAATATATTGGAGAAAATAGCTAAAGTTTTTCACCTAAAGAATACACAATGGGTTTTCATGAATGCTTTCTTACTCCATATTTACCATATGCTTGTACATTAAGACCTGAAAGTTTCCGGAAATTGTTGACCCACAATTCCGGACGTTTAAATATTACAAATATTACTTTTTATTGACCGGCTGTCGTGTTTTTTTTTTTATTGACCGTTGGGACGAGTTCATGAAGAACTAAACCGCGAATATAGAAAAAAAAACTATTTCCGGAAGCTTTCTGATTGCTACAGAGATTACTGAAGGATTTTAAGACTAAAAACTCGTTCAATACCTTCGCTCAACCACCGTATTCACCGAACTTGGCCACATGCGTTTTTTTTTTTTGGTTTCCAAAACTGAAGTTACCACTCCGTGGAACCCGTTTCGACTCGATTGAGGCCGTAAAAGAAAACTCGTAGAGGGAACTGAAGGCGATCCCGAACTTGGACCTACAAGGTATGTTTCGATGATTGGAAAAAGCGGTGGCATATGTGTATCGCTTCAGAAGGGACATATTTTGAAGGCGACAAAATAAATATTGATGAAGATTAAAAAGTTTTGGTCTTATTTACAATTTCGGGAAATTTTCTGGTTTTAATCTATGTCCTTTTTGTAGAAAGTGGGACAAAAGGCGCGGTTTTTTAGTCAGTTGATGTCCATGACACCGTCATAAAAATGCGGAAATCCAACATTTACCGCATATTTGGACGAATTTAGGTAAACTTCTTAAGTTGGTTTTTGATTTAGTGGAATAAACTGTGGGCGATTTTGGAATCAAATACACACAGTAATTTGTGTAAAGATTAAAATTTTACATCTATCTGCCCCATTACTCTTTCTCTCTGCCTTTGAATACATAGTCTGGGGAAAAGTGAGAGATTGAATCACACTCGAGTAATTTTAGATGATACGAATAAGGGCTGATAGCCAATTACGCTCAGTAGTTGTTGATTAACAAATTCTTAGATGTATATTTTAACTACACCCGGCCTCGGATGAGCGTGATTACGCAGATACCTTTTGGTGATATATAGTTCGAATTTTGGAAAAAAACGTTTCTTCTAAGAGTGAAATCAAGGAAATATGATTTTGTAAATTGTTTCAAAATGGTCAAAATTGCATCGAATTTTTATTCCGATTTTATGGGTTTTAAGTGGTTATTTGCATTCATTGAGTAACGGGACACCTTCTTAAGAATTCGATAGTTTTAGAACTTTAAATAATAGAAATCCCCGTTTATAAATTTTTTTTTATACACTTTACAAGTAGCTGTTGGTAAACCTAATTTAAAACACTGTGCATCAATTTATAGTCAACGTGTAACCTACACCAGCTGTATTGAGCACTCAAGGCGCTCTCCTTTGCCCACTGGCTGAGCAAATGTGCGGTTGCTGGTCAGCAAACAACCAAGTAACCCATCGTTATCTTTAGACCAGTGTACCCAGCTGCGTGATATCCACAACCGGAGGAACCACAGGTGCAACCGAAAGTGCTGTCGGCGTCGTCGGACGAAGCGGTGCTAATATTGATGGCATGCTGAAGCCGGTATGCGCTCCCACAAGAATGGGCGTTGTCATGGGGACGGAAGGTGTGGTCCACGTTGTCGCTGAGGTGTGTATTGTTGCAGTTGGCTGTCGCTGATTGAGAGATTTCGGACCGAACATTTGTTTCTGCAGCGTTTTCGTGTGGGCGGCATGTGAGGGCGGTAATAAGTTCTTGTTGTTAGTATTGTTGTTGTTGTTGTTGCTGCTGATATCGCAACTGTTGTTGTTGCTCATGCAGCTAGCATTCATGTAGTTCAAATATTGTCTTTGCGGCAACAATTGCGGTTGTGCCACTAACTGCGCTTGCTGTTGTTGTTGCAAGCTTGTTATATTTCCTGCGGAGTGCGTTGCTGAAGACGTTAAATAGGCGGCTGGCAATAGTGATGTGGCTGTTGGCAACGCTTGCTCAGGCGTTGCGAAATTTGCAGCTGCAACAACACTCAGCTGCGTTGGTAGCGTACTGGTGTCGTGTATAGCCGCTTGATTAATGCAACTAATTGGATAATTGTTTTGCGGAAGTGCCACGCCGCCAACGGCTGCCAGTGCATCGACGAGCAAGTCATCAGCGGCGACACATTGTTGTGAGTTATTGTCGTCTTCAGCCGCCGCTGGTAATTGTTTTTGCTGCGCTCGTTGTTGCTGTTCCAGTTGCGGTTGTTGTTGCAGATGCTGCGGCTGAAGAAGATGTAGTGCTGTGGTTTGTTTTTCATCCGCCAGCGACATAGCTGGCATCTTGCATACAGATATGGCTGCCTCTGCAGTTGACAGCGCATTTGTTGTTGTATCTGAGGGTGTTGTTGTTGTCGTTACGGCTGTCGTTTGTCTGGCTGACGATAACGATGATGCGGTACAACTTGTCGCTGTCAGTTTTGATACCAACGTCGTTGCATGCCTCAATGTCGGCACATTTGTTGTTGTTGCTATTTCGTTTTCTGCAGCTGATTGTATTTGAGTTGTTGTCATTGATGTTGTATTTGTTTGCGTTAGCTCACTCAATTCCTTAATTTTATTATCATGAGCGGCGGTTGCGTGCATTGTCTGTGGCAAGTCCATATTTTCATCTTGTAAGTGCCACACAGCTTCTTGCGTGCCACCACTTTGCTGTAACTGGTAACTTTCTTGCGCCGCTAGCTGTTTTGTCGTCTGTTTCGCATGCAACGACACATCAGCCATACACATCTCTTTCGGTCTTGCCACCTCAGTGGTAGGCAACTTTGTAGCAAGATTATGCCCGTCATTGTTAATTACATCTGGCATTCGATTAGCAGGCATCTGACTAACAACCGCCACCGTCCCGTCAGCCGCATTTGCATGGAGCACTTCCTCTGCCGTCGGCGTCTCCATCGTCTGCAAAAACTCCTGACTCAGCCGCTCCAATACGCCCAGCTTCTGTTTCAGTTGCTCGTTGGACGCGTGCAATTTACTCTCCACGGCGCGTATGTCACAACATTGCAACGTCAACTTGGCATCCAATTTCTCAATTTGCTGCAACACTTCACGTTTGGTTTGGTAGGCACGTTTCACTTGATGTTTTCGTATTTTCGCGTGTAACCTCAGCAGCATCTCCTCCTCACGTTGCAGTTGCTTGTTGAGTGCGTAGATCTTTTCCAGCCACACGAGTTGTGCTTCCACGTCCGTCTCGTTGTCTTGACAGTTGGCGATTGGTTGCTTATTTGTTTCAATCTTGCTGCCTGTCACTGCTGCCCCTTCTCCACCATCTCCACTGAAATCGCCCTTTAATTTCTTCGAGTGTCGCGCATCCGAATTGAAATCTCTTGCTTTGGATGTTTCAATATCCTTTTTATTTGATGTTGTTATTTTTACTGCTGCCACGGTTATATGCGCCCCAATTTTCCTCGCTGACCGCTGATACGATTCATCTGCGTACGAAGAAAAGGAAGTGCAATTACTTTGAAGAAAACATAAGTGGAGTGAAGTGTATTAATGAGATTCTATAAATATAATTATATTCGTACCTATGTATTTATGTGTATGTATATGTATGTATATATTTGTCATATAAACCAAAATATTACTGAAGCAAAAGCGTTACCCACGAAACGAAAGAAAAACTTTATATGCATATTGTTTTCTCCATACCCTTTTTCTGGTAAGCGAGTTGAAAACAAGCCCAACTGAGATGACATGTTCGTGAAGGTATTTAGTAGCACTGGTAAATCTCAACCGCCAATTATATGGTCTCGTTCATTTTTTCGTATTTTAGCAATTGACAACTATTCCGTATTTAATTTTTCAAAGGATCTCACTTAACTAGGATAAAATAGCCCATACATTTTATCACTTAAAAATTGTTATTGGGTCACTCGGTAAGAAGAGAGCTGGACTTATACAAATTACAAGAGAAAGACTGAAGCTCTTTAATGCTTTGACTTCTGTGTTCCATTTGAAGAACGTTTCTAAATTATGGCGAATTTGATGACCTAGCTCTGACTATGTTTGAGTATAAACAAAGTTGAATATGTCTTTGGAACAGATTGTAAGAAATTTGTTGGAAAGCTACCCAGAATGATATAATGTACCCTAGGAACTTCCGCTAACTAAACGAAACCAAAAACCGAACCGAACATCTGCTTTTTTGTTGGTGGAACGAATATAATGTTTTTCAAAGAAACTGTTTCGATGTATACTGCGATGATTCCGAACAGTCCAGCCTTTTCGGAATATTACTGCAAAGATCACAAAAGATGTGAAAACAAATTTGAATATCATATTCCTTGTGAACCTCCCAAAGTTCACAAACTTTTGTTTACTGGGTAGCAATTGTTTACATGGAAGTTTACGTCTGAGTGGTTTTGTTTGTGTGTACCGTAAGTCAGTTGTATTGGTTTTATTACTTGTAATTACAATAAACACACACAGAATCCGAATCGTATGTAAATAAATGCGCACAACCTGAAAAGGTTGTGTTTACTCGTACGTGTAATTTTTTGCGGTGTTGAAGTTTTTACCCCGCGTTGCCGCTAACCACACATGGCACATTATTAAAAGTGTTTATAAACAAAAAATAAAAATGGTTGCTTAGCAGAAAAAGCGGGAAAATTGGATTACTTGTTGTAAATATCTATGTATGTATTACATAGGTATGTATGTGCGTTTTATTTTTATATTTTCTGAATGTTTTCCGAATTTTTAAAGAGATTTAATATAAAATGAAAAAGTAAAGTATAAGACGTATGTTTATTAATATACCTTTTAATTCCAAATCAGTTGGCAACCTCAAAATTTTTATCAGCAATTACTTGCACTGATTTTATAATAACTTTTTAAATTTAAAATTTTGATGTTAAGAAGTATGACAACATGTAAGTCTAAAAAAACATTTACGTTACCATTTAAATCCTTGTGTTGGTAGTATATTCAAACGAAAACTGAAGACTGTGTTTATATAAGAACGTAATTGACATTTAACTTTGATCTAAAGCAAGTGCGTACGGATTTGCCGAAGAAAATGCATAACTTGTCTGAGCTAAGGCAAGAATTACTTCTTCTTACAATACAATCTTCAGATTTTTATAACGGGCACCGATTTTGTAACTACTACTAAAAGTATGTTTTATAAAATGATTTATTTTCAGTGTATAATGTAAGGCCCTCATCCTCATAATCAATACTTTGAGTGGTTTGTCTTATTCCAGGTATTATTATTTTTATATGGATGGAAGTACTCTCTTCCCATGATAAAATGTATTTTTTAAGAAAATACCGGAAACTCTAACAGTATTTTCCTTACAATTTATTGTTCCTACTTCCTTGACGATAATTCAAAAATATTTCCGTCCGAATATCTAATCTCTTTAACATACATCCTTTGCTGGATCATCTTTGCATAATGATATTTTATAAAAAGAAGATCTTAATATTATATTATATGTAATCAAGAGCTGGTATCTAACGATATGTACCCTCTCTACTGAGTATTTAATTATCTTATTCCGGTACTGGATTAGCAGACTGATCAAAGCAAATCAATTGAAAATAGATAACGCAAGCGGCTCAATTAAAATTTTAACTTCGCATACATACATATAGTATATATATAATATATATAGCATAAGAGTATTTCCTTATTTTTATCCAACGAAACCAAAACCCGAAATGTACTCTTAATGTGTACGTATGTGTTTGTGTGCATTCGCTAATTTTAAAGCGTTGAAAGCATTTGGTGTTTTAATGTGCACACACTTGCAACACCACGCCCCGTCATCGCCATAGCCGCATTGCGCGCCAGCCCTCGCGGCCATCTTTTTTCGCAATAATCTATGGGAGTGTATGTAGCGGTGTGTGAATGTGTGGCACATACGCATCGTTGCGTTTTATATTAAAATTTCAGTATTTTCGGAGTTTATTAAAATGATTTGCTATACGAACAACTTTTGTTGGCATTCAAATACCCCCCGCGCTTCACATTCCTCACACCAATCCAACAGCTCTACCAGTACAACACCCTGTACACGCATTGCCAGCATATTAGATCGCACAATATGCTTTAATGCATATGTTGAAATGTTTATATAAACACATACACGCATATATATTTGCTCTAGTGGTTTTTATGTGAGCATCCGCCCACATCTTTTTTGTTGCTGCATATTTATATTGAGCTTGTTTGCATTGTTGCGGTATTGAGGTGCGCGCGCGTGCTGCTTTGCATATGTTGGCACGTGTGTATGTATGTGTGTGCATGTGGGAGTGTATGCTTGCTGAAGGATTCCGCAAATGTTATTTCAACGTAACGTATTTGAGTCGGCTTCCATTTGCGTGCATATTATTGTATTTCTGTGCGCGTGTATTTGTGGCAAAGCATATCAACGTTCCTTCATTTGTACGTGTGTGTTGCCGCATCATTCGTCGGACGTGTGCACATTTCAGCTATAATTTGTCCCGCGACTTGCCATATAGCTGTCTTTACCGTCACCGAATTTAGTTAGCGATTTATGCTTTCATTTCTCCGAGGTATACTTTACAGAGTCACTGTGTTGTGCGGTGTTGGTAGATCTTTGGTGCTTTGACTAGTAACAGGATTTTCGATTTTTCTTATGAAAATTACGAATAGCTGAGTTTATTTTATATATGTAGCTATTGGTTGGTATTTTTTTTTTTTGTATAATTTGCACAGTTGTTCTTATGTTTAAACCAGTTCGGAGATCCCTAACTCCTGTGAACTCATAAAATTTGGAATAAATTTTAGTGAGGAACAATTTTCGCTTTTATGGCTACACTTGTACCAAGATAGAAATTGTGGCTGTAGTTTAATTAACATACTTCAAAAATCCTGAGATAAAGGGTACTCGATCTATTTAACATAATCTAGATAGATAATTAATAATCCAGCTTGCTATTAGCGGGCAGAGTGAAAAAATATATTTACCTTGATTTTAATCTGAAGGTTTATATTGCAACCATATGCTATAGATATAATAACTATAGCGGTCCGATCTCAACAATTTATTCAGAGATTGTAGCTTTGCCTTGGACAATATTTTGTGCCAATATTCATGAAGATATCTTGCCAAATAAAAAATTTTCCATACAAGGACTTGATTTTGATCGATCCGCTTGTATGGGATCTATATTTTATAGTATGGTGATTTGACCTCCATGGCATAATTTATCGAAATCTACATCGTCTCTTTTAACACCCTGAATAGGGTATACAAATTTTTCCACAAAGTTTGTAATACAAAGAAGGAAACGTCGAGGATCACATAAAACATATTGTATGTATATAGATAATGAGCGTGACGAGCTGAGTCTATTTAGCCATGTCTATCTGTCTGTTTGCCTGTCTGAATATACGCGAACAAGCCCCTCAGTTTTTGGGTTTTTGAAGTCATATATTTATAACTGATTAAAGTTATGGAAATGTATGTCTTCCACTAACCACCTTGTTGTTATATGTCATTAATGAAAATCTCAGATGACAATTTGCTTACCATTATACAATAATATGTTAGTAACCCCTATAGCAATATTTAAGCCCAAATTGAACATAATAATGCCTTAAATTTTGGTAATGTTTATTCGAAGGAGCATTGATAAACCGTAGGCTAGACTATTAGGAAATTTGAGGAGAAGATCTTGCACAGATACTAGAGACAGTGAGAGAGAGAGAGAGAGAGAGAGAGAGAAAGAGAAAAACGAGAGAAGAGAGTTTGGAATAAAGCCTTCTCGACTGAAAAAATCAATTATGGTCTAATGTGGGAACAACGTTTAGGTCTTTTAGACAATGACCATGATGGCAGACACTTATGGAGCAGTCTAAAATTATTTTAATAAATAGAGTAAGCTCGTTACTGCTATGCCATTTCGTATATGATTTGAACAATTTTCCTGAAACTGTAAATATTTGTTGGCTTTCACATTTCGTTTTCATGGAGCTGAGCAAAGTTCAAGTGTCTTTGCAAAGCTTGGATCATTTACCGATTTTGTGCTGTTGCGTTTGCAGGTGTGACATAAAAGTCAAATAAAACCAAGTCACCTATTTCAGAACAAAATTTTAAAGATATAAGAGATGGGTTACGAATATGGAAAGGCAGCAGCCCGGCGATAAAAGTAAAATAAAAACAGGTGATTTATTATTCGCTTAGCTGTCACATAGTTAACGTAGACCAAACTTTTGTTATTTGAGTAGTTGATTTTTCTCTGTTCTTGTTTTTGTTGTTGTTATTGAGCGAATGCATAATGAAACCTAGTAGAAGTTGCCACGGTAATATAGAAAAAAAGACATGAACTCATACATATGCAAATAAAGGGCTTTTAGGGCTCACATCTATGCGTTACTGATAAGCACTCAGCACACACACACACAAACACAAACGAATTTTTATACTCTTGCTATTGTTGGTACAGAGTATAATAGTTTTGTTCATTTAACGGTGGTTTGTATCACCTCATACTAGTCGAGATACTTAGATATTGAGTTATATATATGTAAAGGATCAGGATGAAGAGACGAGTTGAAATTCGGGTAACTGTCTGTCCTGCAAGCGACAACTTGATTAAAAATTGAGATATCTTGATGAAACTTGTTACATATATTCCGTGGCACTCAAAGGAGGGTGGTTTTGCGAATCGTAGCATTGACACACCCACAAAACGCCATTAAGTGAAAGCTTTTAAAGTGCCATAACTAAGCGGGAAATTAAGATACAAAACTGTAATTTGGTATAGGAGATCGCACCTAGAGACCAAACATTTTTTAAAAAGTGGGTGTGACACTTTTACATATCTTCCAAACCGTTTAAGATATATTAAAATAACTTACTGAGATGAAGTAATTTTATCACCTCTTTAAACTTTGTGATAATAACCACGATCACTCCCCATATAACGGTTATGTTGAAAACTACTAAAAGTACTATAACTCACTGAATAAATGAGCCAGCGGTATTAAATTTTACAACCATGATGGTAGAGCTAGGCTTTATAGGATATAGTATGAAAATTTGACAAGAGGCGTGGCTCAGCCCATCTTTAGGTGAAATTCTATATCTCATGAACTACTACACCGATTTCAATCAAATTTAGTGTGTCAGGTTGTCCAAACATTCTTATTAGACACTGTAAAAATGGGCGAAATCGGATGACGTTCACGTCTAATTCCACTATAATAAACTTTTCAATATACATTTCTTAAATATATAAAGTCACGGCGAACCAGGTGTTCCTCCGCCTTTGTTCCTTGCAAGTTGCAAGATTATGAAATGTTCTTGTAACACCCGAACTTAGCCCTTCCTTACTTATTATGTATGTATGTATTTAAGTATGCACGTAAGAATAATGAAAATATCTCAGTAATAACTTTCACAGGTGTGCATGTTCATGCGTGTTAAGCATTTTACAACAAAAAACCAACACATACACACGTACAAATGTGTCAGTGGGAGCTGTCAGTCGGGCGCGCACAAAAAATTCATAAATCACCCAGAGGCCAGTACAAAAAAATCAAGCGCCAGACACAAAAAATTCACACATGAGCATTTCAAAAATTTTTTTTTTTTATATTTGCCGAGCAAAATGTTAAAGTACTCCGCTGCAAAAAGTGTGGCAGCGCTGGGCGTGCGCGAGTGCGACGATTTTATTCATTCATTATACATTATGCATTGAATTCTTGCACGTCTGCAACTGCCAACGATCCCATCTGCGCATGTGTGTGCGCGCGTGTGTGTGTAACGAACTTTATGTTGGACAATTTCATTGCAAATGCAAATTTAAGTCCTCACTAATTTAAATACATTCATATGACAGAAAAAACGCCTTTTTAATAACTCAATGTCAACGTGTTTCCATTTAAAAATTACGGTGGCGCCACATTCGGTGTCACTACAAAGAGTGACCACTCATGGATGAAATAGGAATGAGGTTCCGTTAAGGCTCAGAGAAGAGTGAGATAAAATACTTTTTAAAACCATAAAAATATATTTAAAACACAAGGATATTCAGTATTATGAGACAAAAGGGAATATTGGTTTGGCTCTGCCACACATTAAGTGATGGAAGTGATTCAAATAAATCCGTTATACTCGACATTTATATCACTGAAAAAGTCAGCACTCAATTTACGATATTCCAGAGCTTTTCTTGGCTTTTAGAATAGTTATAAAAGTCATATCAATAAAACCTGACGGTCGTATTAGAAACGCATCGTAGTATATACAACTGTCCACATACAATTCGGTACCGGTTGTTTCGAGAACCTCACTCTTTGTCCCGAAAAATTGTTGTCTGAAAAAAGTTTTTTATTGGATTAAGTTTCGCTAAATTAGGTTAAAATTCGCGAGTTTGCACTCACCTATTTAAAGACCAATGTCAATCCAATAAAAATTTAGACAATGAAAGAAAGTAATGTACTTAAACCAAAGTTACACATAGCTCACCATTATAGAAGGGTGATGAAGTAATGTTATCTTCAGGATATATTTTCAGTGTATACAAATGAGAAGACATCTAGTATAAACTCCTTCCAACTAGAAACCAATAGTTTTAACACCAACTTTTAGAAATCTGTTCATCCTTTAATTCGAACCCATGGTGTTCTCTCATCCTATTATAGATATGTATGTCTATAATAGAAATTTATGTATAATAGATATTAATATATTGATACTCGTCCTTCCGGTTTACTTTACACATAACATATCGGTCAATATGAGAGGCACCTAGTACATATTGTAATTTGGAGACTCAAATGGGCGAAATTAGTTTAAACATTAACTAAAATCTGATGAGTGAAATACTAATCTTTGTTTGTGAATTTGACAAAGCAGATATTTGGGCGATCAACATTTCTAATGAAATTAAGAAGGCGCGTGGTGCATGGAATCTGTTAATATAATATCTTGAATGAGCGGAATCGGTTCATTACATCTTCTGATGATGGTTGATTTTATATGCAAACACTTTTATACACTTGCAACATGTTGCTACAGAGTATAATAGTCTTGTTCAACTAACGGATATTTGTATCACCCAAAACTAATCGAGTTAGATATAAGGTTATATTCTATATATAAATGATGAGGATGAAGAGACAAGTTGAAATCCGGATGACTCTCTGAGATTGAGATATCTTGATGAAACTTGCTACACATGTTTCTGGGCGCCGTTTGACGGCCATTAATCAAAAGCCAATAAATTCACATAACTAAACTCCACAATAATATACAAGACTGTTATTTCGTGCAACGAATCACATTAAGAAGGGGCATCCGCAGTTTATACATTTTTTAAAAGTGGGCGTCACCAAATTCACTCAGGACTGAAGAATAGTAGTCCTCATGACTTCCGTTCTCACAACAGTCGGGTCTAAGTAACCGAAACGGATGCGGTATTTTATCCGGTCAAGGACTGTCAACTCGGCACCGTTCTTCGAAATTACTTCAGGAATATTTTCTACCGCCCCACAACAACAACAGTGTGAAAATGGGTGAAATCGGGTGATAACAACACCCACTCCCCATATAATGGTTTTGATTAAAACTACTGAAAGTGCGACAATTCATTCAACAAACAAGTCAAATACGTTGAATTTTACACAGAGTATGGTACTATTAAGCTTTATAGGAGCCAAAACAAAAATTTTACAATGAGCGTGGCACCGCCCACCTTTAGGAAACCCCCATATCTCGAGACCTGCTCGAGCGATTTCAACTTAATTCGGTCTTCGGACATTCCTATGTTACAGTGTGAAAATTTGCGAAATCGGACAACAACCACGCCTTTTTCCCATGTAACACAATTTTAATTTCCATCTGATGCTCTAACTTTCTAGAATGTAAATCAAGCAACAATGATTGTATCGAGACAAAACTTTGCACTAATAATGATTTTAAAGTATACCCCCTTATAACCAAAAATTATACCAATCGAAGCAAAACTGTTCAAGCCCCTTTGTACCGAATATGTGTACCCCAGTACATATAGTTGATTTGGTACCCAAAAATCGGTCAATGTGTGAGATAAAATATAATATATATGTCAAAAATGTCTATATGTCAAAAATGGATTGAATTTAATCAATACTTCCCTTAGCCCCCAATACCTAATATAAAGTTTTTCGAGCTTCCGGGTGATATATATGAAATATCTCACAGAAAATTAGAGAGCGTGTTTTAATCAGTGTATCCGGTGTGTATTCTTTGTGTCTAAATAATGTATCTTTGTGTCTAAAATGGATAAAATTAAGCGAAAACTTGACCTGGCTCCCATATAACTAATATAGGGATTTTCGAACATCCGACTGACTTGGTGATAGTATGTGAGGTACCTTAATGAAACCCTGGAAGCATTTTATTAGTCTGTGGTATGCTAGTAGTATGTGGAATTGGCAAAAATTCATAAAATCGGGTCAGTACTACCCCAACTCCCATATACTACTTATGCTAATTTTCGTTATTTTAACAAGTTATATGCTAAATATGTCGGTCAGTGAGTATTATTTATATACCTATATATCGCTTCAAAATATGTTCTCTGGTATATATAAACCTCATATCACTAATATAATGAATCCCGATCTTCCGGTTGACGTTTCCCACATCAACTCAATATATAATATTTATCCGGTTCTGTCGAATTAATATCACATAGATATACCTCATTTGTAGATGTTTTAATAGAATTTTAGCTGACGTGAACTAATATATAGCAATAAAACTAAGTCTAGGATTATGGCCTCAAGCATAAGTCAAGAAGATAACAAATTAGATTGTAATTTATTAATGATTTCTTCGAATAATGAATGTTGAATTCTTTCGCAATATTTTTGGAAATAAAATTTTGCCAGCACCTGAAGGAATTTTCCGGGCTTTGATTCTTGCAAGTTGCAAGAGTATAATTGTTCGGTTAAAACCGAACTTAGCAACTCCTTACTTGTTACAATATTATATCTTATGTTCGGCATCGTCCACACTCAGCCCTACCGCACTTAAGTTAAATGTTTCCAAACCCTTACAACCAATTGTCCAACTTTCCACAAAAGTGACAATACCCGGCACCGACTTAAGCCAAATGAATTTTCGCCTCAGCACACCCGCATTTAAGCATTTAAATCTACGCACTTCCAAAATCAAAGCAAATAAAAAATTGCGAAAACGAACTCACCAATATATATCTCCACGTCAGCATCACCATCACGGCCAACGCCATCTGCGGCGCCAGCACCAACGCCATCACCGTAATGAACGAGGCCAGTATCAGCAACGCGAACATCATTGAATTCATTAAGCGGACTATCGGCCAATGTCACATCGGTGCACGCCTCCAAATCGGGCTCAGCGTGCGCCTCATCCAGGCCATTCAGGTACGTTTCGAGTAGATAATTTTTACCCAATTCACGCTCGCGTACGCGATGCTTCTCCTCCTCAATTTTCGAAATTTGTCGCTCCTTTTCTCTGTGTGTGTAGGATGTGTGTTTTTAGCGAGCGTAAAAAGAGCAGAAAAGTGGAGGGGATGAGAAACAGTGAATGAGTAAACAAGGCAAAAGTAAACAAAATATGCAACAGTATACAGAAATGTGTTTAATAGCAAATACATATAGGAACTGCCGTTACTTACAAGAGTGTTCAGGAAAAGAGTAAATTTTTTTATTCTTTTTAACAAGTCTGGATGCATTGGACACCCTATACCCTTTTCTTGTGTTAGATCTCATAGTGACTTTCACGTCTCTAGTTTTAAATATTTGTGAGATCATCACCATTTGTCATCATTATTATTAAGGAGCTTTGAAACTCTACACATAATCTCAAGGTCGACCATTAGGAAAGTGACAATAACTATAAGTTAGAAATTTAGGCGAATTTCCTTTGATATTTGTGGATATTAACAAAAAAATCAGTGAAATAAAGCGGACAATCTAATGTCGAATATCGCTTTAGATTTTACTTCGACAGTAATTTGAACCCACAACCTCCGTAGGAATGTCATGCCACTTGACTATGTCGGGCGTTCTTTAAATTACCGCTGCTTAGATTAGATCAGATCTATGACAGCTTAGGATAATACATTTAAGAGTAAACATTATATTTCCATGGAGAAAATGCAGAAAAGTAGTTATGACAGAGATGCTCGAACAACCCCTCTACTTCTGTCCGGACTTTTCTAGAACTCGCCTTAGATATCTAAGAGCTTCGCAGTTCAAGAGACTAGATGAACTATAATAATTAGATATCAAGTCTCTTATAAACATTCCAAAAAAAACTTCAGCACGTATTAAGCTAAACCTCCATATGGCATTACAAAGGGCCCGTAGATCTATGTATGTCATGTGTCGTGACGGCCAGCTAGTATAACCTAACGTAACCTATATCTTCAATGGACATAACGGATAACTATTGAAAAAAAAATAACACGCTAAATCTGTCGATTCCATTACATTTTCCCGCCTTTAAAATGTTCATCGTTTTTGGCCAGCACCTGCTAAATACTTTTCCTACGCACATTTTTGTAAGTGACTGTTTGACTAGGGTTACATGAGCTTACCTTAAAAGGGCCAACTGTCGATGAATGGTTTCGTCCTGCGCTAGAATAATTTTCAGTAGCCGCTCATTTGCACTTACGCCCCCTTCACCTCCATCGCCGCCTCCTCCTAAGCCATCCAGCGCATCCGCGGCCACATCATCCTCCTCGCCCATTCCACAGTCGATGACGGCGATATGCTTGCCACCACCTTTACTCTCCTGTGCGTTGTTCAGCGCGTTGCCGAGTCCGCTGAAAGCGGCCACAGCTCGTTGTGAGACGCGTGGATGCAACGTATTCGCCTGTGCCAACCAACTGACCGTAGCGGCTGATTTGTACTTGCGGCGACGTAACCGTGCACTACGCGAACTCCCCACCGGACTGCCCATGCCACTGTCCTTGTCTGTGGAGAGCAACGAGGAGACCTGTGTATTCAGATTGAGCGAAGGTGAGCTGGGGCGGTGCAGTGCATTAGGTAATGCTGTGAAAGTCCCATTATTGCTGTTCCCACTGCAGTTGTTGTGGCTATTGGCGGCAGTAAGGCGACGCAATAGCAATTCGCACTGGTGGATTAAATGGATGGTCGAAACAAGTGGTGTTCGTCATTGATGAGGTCGCAGTTAGAGTGTGGTCATATACGGTTGTTGCAGTTGAGGGGAGTATGCAACGGTGTTGGTGGATGTTGCCACAGTGCGTGCGTGCGTGCGTGCATACATGCATTTCATTCGTTGTTGTTGTTGTTGTGGTGGTGGTTGCGTTGCGTTATCGTTGTGTTGGTGTTGGTATTTTTCGTTGGAATTTTTTTCGTTGTCATGCAAGAAATAAAGAAAGTGGAACGGAAATATTGGCTTTGAGAAATTGCATGGTTTCTTGCGAAAGTGAAAAGTAAAAATTTTGCGTGACTCAACACTTAACACTAAAACGGAATTGCATGTCTTACAAATCGCAAATTGCGCTCACCGACAACGGGCAGCAGCAACAGCAACATCAGCAATAACAATAACCATAAGTAGGTGTATACACATGAAAGGAATGAAAGCGGGCGCCCGTCAAGTGTTGTTGCTGCCGCAGGAAATTTTCAAACAAACTTTCTGCACAAAAGTTGAACATTTCGCAAAATGCCAACGAGAAAAGTGTGAAATGAAATGTGAATAGTGAGTTGTGAGCTGTGCGAGCGATTTAAAAAATTTTCGACATCCTGTCGGCAACAAAAAGGCAGCTCGCAACAATCAAGGATATGCTAACTACATACAAATATCGTTCGTCTTTTCTCCTCGCTACCCGCCCTTGCCTCAGCCGCTCCGGTAATTCTACATTTTTCTGTCTTCACGAATGGCAAGTAACCTCATCAGTTGTGGTACCTGCCGTAGGCCAACCAGTAGTTAGGCTATTAGCTGTTGTTGTTGTTTTTGTTATCGTAAGTCGTTGAGTAGGCATTGCGTGACTTGTTTGCTCGTCCGACAGCTACAACGCATTTGTTGCGAAAATCTTTCGCACCGCGCCAACAACTGTCCTTGCCACAGTCGTTTCATTTTGCGCGTAACTGTTACCAACTGTTTTTTGGAGTTGGAGCTCAACATCGACAACACTTTGCCAATTCACACCGATTTATTGGTGTGTGTATCACTGCAACACATCATTGTTCTCGAGTCAGCGTGCCTTAGTGAAGCGCAGGAAACGTGGGTGAAGGGTGTATGTTAAGCATGTGTATTTGAAAAGAAACAAGTAAGGAAGAGCTAAGTTCGGGTGTAACCGAACATTTCATACTCTTTCAACTTGCAAGGATCAAAGCCAAGGAATTACCTTCGGGTGTTGGCAAAACTTTATATTAAGAAATTTTGCGAATTTCTCAATTTTATTTTAAAAAAAACTCCCACATTGGCCGATATATGTGGTATATTTTATTTATTAGTTCAACAAATTTTCGACATAAGGGTGTATTATTGTCAAAGGAACATTTTTCCCGAATTTCAGTAATATACATATTTCATAGATTGACCGATATTATCGGTAAAAAGTCAGCTATAGGCTCTGGGTCTACATTTCCGGTATCTGGGTAGTTCCGAGAGTATGTTCCGAGAAATGTGATTTCACCTGAGTGAGGGCGGTGCCACGCCCATGCTCCAATTTTGACACCTGCTCTTTCAAAGCCATTTTATGTCATCTCGGATGTAAAATTTAAGCCTCTGCTGCATTTCGTTAGCTTGAATAAATTAAAAATTACGGTTTTGTATTTTAATTTTGGCTTACTATTGTATATTAGTCGTGGCAATTTGTACGTTTTCGACTAATATCGTTTTGTGGGCGTGGAACTGTCGATTACGCCCATCTACGAACTCTTCCTCACTTTTTTGCTAAGAAACGCTAGCACGGACGGAGGGACGGTCAGACAGACAGACAGTCACTCAAATTTCTAGTCGTCTCATCATCCTGATCATTATTTATATATATAACCCAATGTCTAACTGGATTTTTGTCAGTTGATACAAACAACCATTAGGTGAACAAAACTATTATATTCTGTAGCAACATGTTGCAAGAGTATAAAAATAATTACGTTAAAAACTCCTGCTTTGTATTGTCACTGAGAAATCATATTTATATTGAAAGTTTACAATTTTCGAAATCTTTTAAATGACTTACGTAAAACTTCAAAGATTGTAGTGTTGCCAAAGCTTCTGACGATTCACTTAAATAATGTAGCTTATTCACATGGACTAAGTTTATTTGGCCCAACTGAATAATCCCGTTTATCTGAGACACTAAAAAAGACTCTACCTATCGGCAGATGCGGAAAGTCTATTTGAAATATAACACGGAACTAGAACTAACGCAGTTAGTTAACGAAAAGAGAGACATAGTAGCACTTATAATAAACCTTCACTCCGTCTTCAGTTTTAAGAAGGTATTTGCTTCAGAAGCAAATAAAACCAGACATAATTTTTTTTAGGACAAGCCTAAAGTCTGTTTAGGATTGCTGGTAGTCCTAATTTGACTTTTTCTCAAACTCACATTCGAGAGCTGGTTTAACAGTTGCTCATCTGAAAACTGCCATGCTTCCAAAAAAATTGATAGTAAATGAAGTTTTTCCCACTACTGATCTGGATCTGGATAATCGGCAGGCCATAGATTTTTATCGAGCTTGTAATTTCAACAGCATTCCCCAAACTATATACGGAGATGCTCTATTACAATGACAATGAAGTTACCTAAAACCAATTTTAAAGGGCCGGCAATCTTCGAACGCGTGATGTATACTTTCAGGTTTATTAGGAATTGCCAACTACCAACAATATATCCCATCAAAAGCCTTTAACTAGAGGCTTTCAAAAAAAGTTTCTCAACTCGCGGCAGTAATAATAATAAGCTTGCCATGATTATCTACAACATCTTACTACATGACAGCTCTTACCTCCTTCCTTGACGTTCCATCCTGCACCGGCATCACATCGAATACCTTCGCATTGCCATCCAAGTACTCTTCACAGTGGCGATGCTGCTTAACAATAACGTACTCAGTGGCGTTAGTCAGCCGGTTGCCACACAGAGGTGCGCCACCACTGGTCGCCGGCACAGTTAGCGCCATCGACACAGCAGCTGTCATGGGAAGGCAATCGCCAATAGTTAATTCACCGCTCGCAGCGAGCGATGGATAGCAATTTTCTTTGGTATGCGTTGATGTTTTTATTAACGCTGATTGATTGATGGCTGGATTTGGCGTGCTGTTGTTGCTGCCGGTGGTGCCTACGATGTTATTATTGTTGTTCTTGCCACTGTTGACATTAAACATATGCTGTTGTGGCTGATGCTGCTGCTGGTAGTGTTTTTCCTGCAATTGCTGTGCGTTTTGATAATTGAGCAACGCGCCAATCAAATCCGCACACGTCGTACTCGCATCTACACCCGCCACCCAGTGCTTCTCGCCGTCCACCCAAACAGCCACATTGTCCGACAACGTCTCCATCGAACCGAACGAGTCGCTCTCATCATCGTCCACATCAACGTCCACAGAGTCTAGCATAATGCCGCCCGTCGTCACACCTGTGCGCGTGTCAACGGGAAAATTAACATCACCAACAGCCGCGGCAGCTGCAGCAGCCGTGGCGGCGACACTATCTCTACGTTTATACGCATTGCCGTTGCTATCGACATTGGCCTCATCGTCATCAACAACGGCGATATCAACACATGCGGCAACTCGGGTCGGCCTGAACACTTCATTACATTGGTGCGCCCTTTCATGTATTATTCCACCATCGCCCGCATGCTGGGGCTCCGTCTGCGCGTGTGTGTAGCCAGCAAAACCAATATTTATCGCTCTGCCCATCGTTGTTTGCACTGTTGTTGTTGTTGCCGGTATTGTATTCACCAAAGCTGATGGATGCGAGTAAAGTGGCTGCCGCATTACATGGTGGTGGCTGGTGGTGTTGGTGCCGGTGATGTTGGCGTTGGTCCGCGTCAATTGATTTGTATCTTTGGCCGCCATGGTCGCTGTCATCGTTGCTGTCGCCACCGTTGCTCGGCGCTAGCTCCTGCTGGTCTAACTGTCTCAGTGCCTGTCGCCTGCCAATTTTTGCTGAAAATATAGCAGAAGAGGTGAAGAATAGGCAATGAATTACAAAAGCGATTCAGAAATGGATATAAACTCACATAAAATATAAATACAGGGTTACCCAAGTGCACGCCGAGTGGAAAAAAATATTTTTATTAGTGAGAAATAACCTCTGGGCTTCACGTGGTTCAACGGTCGTTAGACTAATACTAATAGATGTAAAATATCAATGGATCTGGAGCTACGCGTCATCATAACTTCAGAAGGTCGGATAACGTAAGTGATAATAAAATTTTCCACATCAACGAACTTATTTTGCTTTTATTTAGGCATTTTAAGATGTGGGATCTTCCATCACTTCCTCAACATCAGATTGATTATGTAAACGTGCGCCTCTTGAAACTGAGGTTAGAGCGGGGTCCTATATCCATTGAAAAACCTGTAGAGCGTCTTTGTATGCATACTAAACCGAACAGAAATAGTTCTAATTCATTAGAATGATTTAAAAAAAAAAACTTCCAATGTGTTGTGTTTTAAATAAAGATTATAGTTCGTAAGTTCGTTTGAATAAGCAACCCGTGGAACCCTAAATATATGTTGCGAAGCTAAGTCTAGCGCCCTCAGAAACTAACCTTTTATAACGGGTATTTTTTGGAAGTTTGGCCGTTTTAAATCGTGCAAAATCGTGCAAGAGATGGCACCAATCCCGATTTTTACAAAAAATAGAGCCATGATTACTGACTTTTTCGTGCCTGAATTGGAGGATATTGATGTGACCGACTTTTGGTTCCAACAAGCCGGCTATAACATGAGCGCGTTATCTCGCGTCGTGAGCCTGTGGCGTGGCCTCCAATAAAAACCATATGTCTAAAAAACATCCTTTACTAACTTAAAGGAAAACTCTCGAAAATGTGGAAAAATAGTTTCCACAGATTTTCTAATTCATGCCATCTAATATTTCGAAACTGTTAAAAGTGTACAAACCGATTAACCCTGTATATACTATCAAACACAACAAGGGCGTCATAAATCGCCTAGTGAATATACATAACAAAAAAAAAAATCGAAAAAAATTAGAGGCGTTCACATGAATTGATTTATTTTGGCGTATTAACTAGAAATGTGAGCATGAACGGCCAAATGATGTGATGTCTGATTTGATTAGTGTATTGAAAGCTTGAACACCCGCTTACACGTTGCAACCACACGGACATATGCACACAGCGATACAACCATTTACCGGCAGTCTCGCGACGGAGCTCGCCAACCAAATAACCAACAATAGAAAATCCGATTAATGGATGCTGCAGCTGGCGTTGTTGTTGTAATCACTGCTTGTTACAGGAAAACACACACACACACATACATGCAAATGTATTAAATTATATCGCCTTCAAATAGATTACATACAAATTTTGATTGTAATATTGTGCTCGAATATGTTGTTGTTTTTGTTGGCGGGGTATAAAATTGATTGGCTCTGTCGTTAGTAGTATCATTCTTAGTAAAATTCAAATTGGCTAGTGATTTCTTGTGTTGATGATGTGCTGAAATATCAGAGCATAATAAATCTAGAGCCTGTTCATTTCCATTGAGCGTGTCATAAAAGAGAGTGTAAAGAGACCATAACACTTAAGTGAGTTATATGGAGACATTTTCCCGGTAACAGTGATACTTTTGTGTTTTAGTAATAATAAAGTTGACTTAAATTGATTAATATATACACTAAAACGCTTTTTTGCTAGAAACTGATTTATTTCTGTGAAAATTTACTTGAATGTGATAAATATCAATTTCATCTTCCGAATATTTTCTATAATCAATAAATAAAAGCTGCATAATTTTAATTATTCTTATTTGATCTGGCATATAACTGAAGGAGAAACTCAAAATAAACCGGTTTCCCTGATACTTTATCAAAGACGTTTTTCCTTAAACTTTAATTTCTAAATCCGCAAACAATATGTCATTCGAAGTACTCAATTCAAATTACATACATTTTTATGCCCCTAGGTATCATAAAACTCTGCTATCCATTTTTCATGAAAAAAAATATACACATCATTTTCCATATTTTGAACTAGTATGACCCTCGTAAATTACTGGCCGAAACTTAGTATTTTTTATTATTGTAAGGCCCGACAAATATTTCTTTAATAATATTGAAGAATTGTGCCGAGCTGACAGAGTTTGGCCGGATAAAATTGTGAGCCCGATCCAATTACATAGAGAATGGAAGAACTTGTTGATCGGTACAGATTACAAATTGCGCTATTTGCGGATAAGTTTATAGTCATTTTAAATGAAAAACTAACCTTATGAAAAATAGCATAACATCGGCTAGCTCGTTTCCTTTGAAATTTCTCGTGATCTATTGCTACACAATTTAAACTTTTTAATTGATCGTGGAGAACTAAAAATATTTTAAAATACTTTAGTCAAACCAAAAGTGATCGATTTACAGACCCTTTTCCTCTCGTGCTTTATCTTTAGGTTCTCAGCAATTAAATAAGTGCCCATGTGACGGTCTGTTTCCACTATTTCCATAATTTTATCGCAATTTTCGGTGACAGGCCTCCCGACGCATGGTGCTTTTTTTACATCCAAATTACCGGAACGGAACCTAGCAAACCACTTTTGTGCTATACGTTCGTTTACAGTATCGGGCCTATAAACTAAATTAATTTTTTTAGCCGCTTTGGCTGCTTTTTCGCCTTGATCGAAGAAAAATTGTAAAATATAGCGAATTTCCTCTTTGCTGGTGTCCATCTTTGACGAGCGCTCACAACGTATTGAGTCAATCAATCGAAAAACTGTCAAATACAAACTTTTAGCGCGATTAAAAACTTTTTCAGCGCCGTATAGTATGACATGATGCGACACGTAACACTAGTACTATGGACAATAACGCCATCTCTTAGATAAAAACCGAACGAATATTTATACCCTGAAGATGGTATATTAAGTTTTAAATTTGTAACACCCAGAAAAAAACGTCGAAAACCCTATAAAATATACCATATATATATAAAGAGTGTTGCAAAATTAACGCAAGAATTAAATTTCCCGGCATTTATGTTGTAAAAACCCTAAAAAAACAACAGCTGACAATTTAGGCTTATTACATTTTTTTCAGTTTTATTTAGTTTAGGCTTTTAATGGATTATTAAGCGTGAATGAATGGATGCTGAATTTTCAAGCGAAATCATCCTAAGCGATCAAGCACATTTTCACCTGGATGGGTTTGTTAATCGCCAAAATTGCCGCTATTGGAGTTCTGAGAACCCACATGTGATTGTCGAAAAACAAATGCATACACAACGTGTCACTGTTTGGTGTGGATTTTTGGCTAGAGGCGTAAATGGACCATATTCATTTTGAAGAAATTGGACAATAATAATGTGACCAACATGTGGTTTCAAGACAGTGCCACATGTCATACAGCCCGTGAAACAATTAAATTACTGCGTGAGACATTTCCAACACGTGTACTCTCTCGTTTTGGTGCTCAGAATTGGCCGCCTGGATCGTGTGATTTAACACCATTAGATTTCTGTTTATTTATCATGCGTGCCTTAAAGAAAAAGATTCAACGTTGCATCAATGAAATTCAACCACATTTATACAAAATAGTCATGGACATTTTCGGCAAATGAGTGCGTATTTGTATGGATAGCCGTAGAGGCCATTTTCCCGCTACGCGTTTCTATAAATTACCCTATCTTATGTACTTTATGATTCAATAAACAAATTACAACCGAAAGAAAAACTGTGTATTCAATTTGATTCCAATCTTGTGTTAATTTTGGTACACCCTTTATAAATGATCAGCATGTCCATCTGTCTGTCCGACTATCCATCCCTCTGTATATACGTAAACTAGTTCCTCAGTTTTGAGACATTGATCTGAAATTTCGCACATGTCCTTTTCTCAACAAGAAGTTTCTTATTTATCGGAATCGCCGTTATCGGACCACTTTAGCATATAGCTGCCATCCAAACTGAACTAACGGAATAAAGTGCTTGTAAGGAAAGCCTTTTCATTTTGACGAGATATCTTTACGAATTTTATTGGTAATTGGGTACAATCTCCGAAAAAAATTGTTCAGATCGAGTCACTAGAGCATATAACTGGCATAGAAACTGACCGGTCAAAGTTCTTGTAAGAAATCGTTTGTATTTGTGAAGAGTATTATACAAGTAGGTTTGATGCAACCAAAGTTAATATTTTTTTTTTAAGAATAGATCATCGACCCAAGCAACACAGAGCTAGATTTTTTGCACCAATTGGTAATATACTCATAAACAACAGAAAATATATGTATATACGCAAACAAATAGTTATATTCGCAATTGTTTTTTTTTTTTTAAATATAGTAATTAATTGCACAGTCCACAACAAAATTTATCGCCACCTATTAATTAGTCAAATTAGCTCAATTTTGAGGCGACTTGTGTTTTAGAGATTCAGATTCGGCAATAATTTTAAACACAAACTCCAACAATCTCTCAACAATTACCGCTACTTTTGCTTTGAGCACATTAACTAATGGGTGTAATTGGAAGAAATATGAGTTATATATATATGAATATTATATAACTATATAGTAAGCAAAAGTTGTAAAACTTTATTAAAATCTGATATATCGCGTTATAATTGAACAATTACTTATGAACATTAATCACCGTTAATTACAGTTAAATATGACTTTCCTGGGCGTTTACCATTATCGTTGTATTTAATTCAATAAAATACGAAAATTCAGAAGAAATGTCAAATAAGCGAACACTTTGCGTGTCTCGCTGGCATTATGCAGCTTAAGAGCATATTTAGAGAAATTCATCAAACGAAGCTAAATTTCATGAACTAAACAAATTGGTTTGCATGTGATATGCTTGGAATGTGCGCACACTAACACATGCACATAGCGAACGCATAACTTCTTACACCACAGGACATTCAATCATGTCCTTGCTCCATTGTAATGTGCGCACTTTACATACACGCATGCAATAGAGTGTAA